GGATGCGACAATCACATGCCAGGTCGCTTACTTAAAATAGTGGACATCTAACTGACAATCAAAGTTTGTGCTTATTATTGGGGTTATCTGGTGTTTACTCACCTCCCAAGCTGCCCTGGGCGAGCCAACTTTTCCTCCATTTCCTTACATGAGAAACAAAGGTTGGTTCGGATAGATTCCTTACTACCAGTAGTGGGCGGGGTTGAGGGCTTCCGGACGTCAGCCCTCCACTGAGCCGGTAGTGGTGGCCTCACCCTTCTAGCCCGGCTAATATTTCTTCACTTTGGCTCGCCCAGCTAGCTGGGACGACACGGTCAAGGCTAGACAAAGACAGCATGCGCAAGCACTGTTGACTCGGACAAAGTGGTCAGTTTTTTCCTCATACAAACGCTCGCAAAAGTTGGCTCGGCTGGGAGGTTGATCTTCTCTCCGGCACAGCTTTTCTCCATCCATGGGTTCCAAACAGTCTTTTATCAGTCACGTTTGAAATTTATAGGAAAATGATGTAGCACTTCAAAAAGTAATAACAAAAAAAATACACTTTTTTCACAGCCTGTCAATGCCTAGAAGGTGTCTATAAAAGAAATCAACTGCAAAACAGGAGTCAATTTCAGTTTTTTGCGCTTTTCATGCTAGCACTGCGAAGCGGACTGGGGGTGCGAGACACGCGGGATGCATGGGGAACAAGTTCTGCAGGCTATAAAAGAAATTAAAAAACAAACAAACAAATAAAGCAGGCCTGATTTTATTTCGATGAGTCTATTTTTTGTCGAAAGCAAACGTGAAAAATCGTATTAAAATTCGTGACAGTATGCTAACGTGACTTAAGCGTGTGACCGATTTCCGGTCACACACCAAAGGTCATACGATCTTGTGCGATGTTTATTATCAGCCGACGAACGATTGAAGTGATGAAAGGTTTTCAAAATCGAAGTCATTAGTTTGCGATGAATTTTCAATCTTTTGGCCTCCTGACTGAAGTAAAAACTCTTGCAACTCTTGCTTCCAAAGGACCGCAGTGACGTGTTGTGACTTTATTTCGATTCACGGCCGGATTCTGGCGCAGTCGCTGAGCAAACGTACGTTTGTCTTTTGGACCTTTTGGCTTAAAATTATGGATTTTGTGACTCAAACCGACGCAACAGAAGTTGGAAATAACTTTCCTTGCCGTAAAAACGTTTTACAAGCAATGGTGAGTAATCCTTTCATGTAAAACCTTTCTTTTAGTTTGACAACCGTCCGCAAGCCGTCTAATTTGCATAAATTTCCCAATTCAATTGCTCTCACCGCTTGCTTTGGTGTCAGGATGGTATTTGATTTCCAGAGCTAAAACTTTCCAGTAAGTTAGTACTAAAGCCAAGGTTCCATTTTATATTGATTTCATGATCAAGCGGCATATACCAGAGGCCTTTTTTAATAGTCAAAGTTGGCCTTCGTTTTCTAGCATGTCTAACGTCACAAATATGACCTCTTTACACTTGTCGATTATAAAAATATAAGACATTGTTTTTCAAATTTTCTTTTAAGGTTTTCAAGAGTAAGAACAAACTAATAATTCGGTGAAGTTTGAGTGTCAGGGAATGTTTCTTACGCGTTCACCCTTCTTTCGAAGTTGCCATTGCATCCTGCCGTGTTTTGTTCGAAAAACAGGAATAAAATCGATTTTTCAAACTTTTTTTAATTTCTCGTTTAAAATGAATCGTTTGAACCCAAAACTATTTTTCCTTAAATTAGGTCACTAAAAGGGATGTTTTGGCAAAATAATAAAAAATTCGATTTTTTGACGAGTGTCTTGCGATTCTCGATTTTCTCAGAAAATGGCTCTTAAAAGAACCGCCTTTCATATTGTAAAAACTATTCAGAAGAGACAGCTTTATACACTATTATTTATTATAGTTTTATAGCACTTCTTTGGCTACGAACTATCATTACAACAAAATGAATATGAACAATTATAAAATAAGAATCATGAATGGTTTTGTCGCGGCTTAATAAGAATAGCGCCATGACGAAGGCATAGGTTAACTGAAACGAAACTTTGACATTAAAAATGCTAAAAGTGGCACTACATGCGATCAATGAAAACTGCTACGTGGATTAAGGACGGGGTATTTGACTTCCTTTTTCGTCCCCACCGCGGGGCGTTTGGCGGCTAAATAAAGTAGATCTCCCAGCCCCCAGTAATTTGCCACCCAAGGCAACAAATAAGGCTTATGCCCGAGGGTTAGCCCGGGGTACCGGGTGCAGTTGGATTTGACCAATGCGTTACGGTAACTAAACCAACTAAACCCGACTAGTTTCATTTGAGGTAGGTAAGTCTATCGTGCAGAGCTTTAGGCCATAGAAGTATAAAAGTCATGGCGGAACTCTCGCGCGCGCAAAGCGCGCTCAAAGAAGCACCATGGGTAAGAAAATTTGGTTACCTTGCATCCGAGAAATTTTGGAAGTCACGTGACCGTAGGTCCGCCCCCTCGCCCGTCCGTCCGCACCACAGGCATGCCAATGTTAAATAACTCAATCAACAGTTATGGCAACCCAAATGCAACTCGATATTTTTTTGGCGGGAAATCGCATGGCCACCCGGTCTTTTAGAGAAAAAAAAAAAAGAAAACAGCGTCAAAGTCAAGTCTTCTTCAAAGTTATTTTGATTTCTACATTCACGTAGATAACAGAGAAAGATCTAGAGCGAGTGATCAAAAACAAAGGAGACGAATTTCGTCGGAAGAAAATCATAAAAATCTCATGGTGGCGGTGAGAAAATGAGAAATGCTAGGGGCCAGCAAGGAGCGGCCGGCAAGGTGAAAATGAGAGGTAGTGAAAAAAAAGTTAAAGCGAACAGGAGCAGAAGCAACAAAATTTTTTGTGAGCTCATACGACAATTCCTCAATTAAGACAATGTGTAATGGCTCAGTCAATTCCAAGAATGCCCATCCCCCCTCGGGGCATTTGTCGGGCATCCGTCATTTTGTTTTGGAAAAGTTGCAAATGTCCGTACGGTGGGGCCGGGCGTTCATACAAAAACCCCACGGTGGGGCTTAAAAATAGGGTGCAAATGACCCACCCCGGGACAACAACAAAATTGTATCTTTCCAGTAAATAAATTGTAATTACCATATTTATGGGAAATCTGTAATAATCTGATCAAACTCGCGCGTGAAGCACCCTACGCAATCGCTTCTAGCCGCTAGTTTTTATTATTGCAAAAAAGAGATAACATTGATCGAATTAATCTCAATGACGGAACTATAAATTAGAATTTAAATTATAACTTTCTTATTTTCAAAGATGTTTAATACTAATAGTGAATGACAAGAGAGAATGATCTAATGATTAACAAACAACTGACGCGCTTTACATGAGTATTTTCTCATCACGATGGAACCGTTGAATTGTCGCATTGATCGTACAATACACGAGGTTTATATTAGCTTTCAAATGTCTCGCGGAGTTTTTCTAGGCCTTTATGCCTCAACTATTCACGAGCAAAGAAAGAGTCTTTTCCTTTAAACTCTTCAAACGATACATTGGTTGTTTTTGCTCCATGTACGAGCTGATCACGATGGCGGGAAGCAATTTCTTAGAGGGATGCGTAAAATACTGCGGGTTAGGGAAGTGATGGAGCGAGAACCACGCATATCGTTTTAAAAGCATAGGTATTAAAAATATTCTTTATAAAGCTATCTAAATAGGTAATTCACAAATGCCCCACCCTCGGCCAGAGGTTTTCTGACAAACCCCTACCACTGGGACCAACAAGATGACAAATGCCCGACATATGTCCGGGGGGGGGATGATGGGCAGTCTTGGAATTGACTGAGCCGTAACTGGAAAGTTTCACGTTTTAAGGCGATGTTACACAGACGATTCGCAACGAAGATTTTTAGCGCAACACAGCGTTGAAACATTGTTGCGACACCGTTTCAAATAGTTACAACATTGTTCCAACGTTGAGCTACATTGCAACGCTGTGTCGCGTTACAGATCGTCGTTGTGAATCGTCCCGTGAAATATCACCTTTAGTCGTGCAACACGGCATTATAGTCGTGAAAAACAACGGCAAAGGATCGAAATGTGCAAAAAAGTGTGCTGCACGTGCAAACTTGTTTTGTTTTGCTAATTAGATCTATTGATTTTGTTGCCTTTCTCATTGCCGTCGCCGTCGCCGTTTATGATTTTATTTTTCGTTTATAAGTATGTTAACGGGAGCCTCGCTTTTAGCCCTGGCTAAATCTATATATTACGATATATCTCTAAAGGTATTGTGCATAAGGGGGGCATTGGAATGAAAGTCAATATTAATAGGACTCAGTATTTAAAATACTTCGTTTTTTGTAAAGCAAGGCTTGTTTCACTTGGCCTGGAAATCGAATGTTGCCGAGTTTAAAGTTAAGTACGTAGCTGATTCAAGCAGTATGAGGCGAACAACCTAAGGGACTCTAGCTTTAGTTCAGCACTTCAAAAATCCAGATAACTTGAACCTTCTAAGGAAATGGAACAAAAATCGAGTCATTGGGAGTTCGAAGCAATAACCAGAATTAAGGAAATGGGATGGGGGAGAAATGCAAGTATCACGCATACTTCACTTCCAGCGAGAGATGTATTTTTTGCCTGAAGGAATACAAAGAATACATGACCGTTTTGAAATAAACGCAATGTTTCGCACTGCAGTACAATTTTTTCTTCGACTTGCCACGCGCTTAAAACATGGTTCGAGTACTATATAGAAATGACCTAAAAAAAATACTGCGAATTAGCGGGAGGTTCGAGTTATCGAGGGGAAAATTACAGTAAATGTATGGAGGAAATCAAGGGGAAACCGATTTTCGTTCGAGTTTGCGCGCGGTTCGAGTTGGGAGGGTTCGAGTTATCTGGAGTTGACTGTATACACAATTGATTTTCATCATAGCGTTAACCTTTCAAAGACAATACCTAATTGAATGTCTATTAATACTTCCTGTAATTTCGAAATCTCAGTTGAACAGTGTCCCTTATTAGGAGATATGGAGTTCAATGTCCGTCTGGCTGGAAATGAAGATTACCAAGCAGTGCTGGAAATGTCCAAGGGACATTATGAAGGACATGACAATGCCCCATCTTGTTTTAAACAATGGCTACTAAGGGACAATATTACGGTGCTAATTTCCACTTACCGACAAAAGGCCATTGGACTCTGTGCAGTAAGCATTGTCGATGAGGGTCAAACATTTTTCTCTCATGGGCTTAGAATACACCCACATTATAGAGGAAAGGGGTTTGGAACTCAATTAATCTTGGCTGTCCGAGAGTTTGTGCGGCAAAATTATCCAAGTGTTCTACGCGAAAGATATACCACAGGAAACACCCATCATGCTAGGCTAGCAATTGCTGCCAAGACTCAAGATAAGCTACTGTTTGAGCAAGATTCCTATGCATTTGTCGTAAAGGATAGAATTCAGCTAACTAAACTTGACGGCCTAAATTCCTCTTGTCCGTCCATGGTATACAAGTATGATGTAGAGAAATTCAAGAAAGATTTAGAAAAAAGCCAAGATTTATTCAAACAAGGAATCATGGTGATTAACTACGAACCGTATAAAGCAGTACCATCAAATGTTGACCTGTGTATAGAAGAGGGCGACTGTTTATTTACTGACAGAACACAAGGACTCTATCTGCCACAGTCCAACCAACTTCGTTCCTTCAGTCATGGATGTATTGTCCGCGCAGCTAAATTTACACAGTGGGCTGTGACGGTCTTCACAAATGACTTGACACTTTTTCAAGGCCATCTTTTGGTAAACCTCCAAGTTGCCTGTCAGAATATTCAGGGAGACATCATATTTCGCATCAACCATGATCGTGACAAGTTCTTAAAAGAAACAGCTGTAAAGTTATTGCAGGGAACCCTTGGGTTGGAACCGGAGACAACAAGATTTGAAGACTTCTATGCTCTGTTATTTGAAAAGGAACTTTACTGACTAGACCTTTGCCCAGTCTGTCAGTAAGAAACTTTATTGGAATAAATATACACCTATTCTGTCAGTAACATATTATTCTTGAGGGGTTGCACGCTAAACATTATAATATTTAGAATTACATTTATATAATTTCCTACAATTAACAAAATTAACTTGCATCTTAACAGTTAAGATTTTGATAGAGATGCTAGTATCACAATGCTCCCGGTGAAAGGTTAAACCGTCATGCATGTCCATGTCTCCTAAGCAACCATGGGCGTCTACAGGCTAAACTCTTGATCTCCAAAGATGTACCCTGTAAACAACAGTCAGTTTAATGTAAAGATTTCTTGAACAGTGGGTTACGCCTGCGATCTTGAACTGCATCAGCTGCTTTGTAAATAAGCCTCATGAATTCATCCACATTGAAAGCATAGTTTGTAAATTTCGCATGAGCACCTAACGTTGGATGATGGCCCTGTTAAATAAGCGAAAAAATCTCCATTTAAACCTTCGTTACAATCGGCAACCACGTAAAGGATGAGCATGGACAAGATCCAGAGACCGTCACAAGCAATTTCAAAATGACCGTCGAACGGTCGAAACGTAGTTCTTTTTTAACGTTAACTTTTATAGCAAACCTTTTTTAACCTTTGAATTAAGCATAAAAAATATATTTTTTAGAATACTTAGTACCAAAATGGAACGCTTCGTGAAACATTCTCTGAAGAACAGCATTGGAACAAGTATTACTGCATTTTTCAATACCATGCAAACTCAAAAGTCAAAAAGTTAAGTGACATATATTTTTTGCTTCTATCAGTCAAACTATGACAAAACAAAACAAACAAAATGGATTGAAATCTACCACTTACAACCCGCTGAAGAAAATCTGTGTTTCCTCAGAAGTCTGTTAGGGTGACCGACAGAAACAGAAAACTTAAAAATTACATGGTTAATTCTTAAACCTTTTAATATCGGGGCTTAAAGGGTGAAGGGTTTGCATGTTCTTGAAAAGCACAGTGCGGGTGAATGCATTTTAGAGAGTTACATAAACAAAACATTTTTTGACAGAAGAACAAGAGAAATCGATTTTGTCTATTGCGGAGTGTACTACTTACCAGTGGTTTCACTTAAACTGGCATTTTGTTCACAAGACTAAGACAAAAGTTATTAAAATCTAATGAACAAGGCCGAGTTGTTCAAAGCTGGGTTAAGATAACCCAGAATAAGTGCGAGATTTGAATTCAGATCATGTGAAAGCGTAAAAAGCATTTCACTTTTAATTCTTTTTATCCACAAGTTGATGATTGGAAGCTCCAAAAATATCAGAGAAAATTATCCGAGAAAAAGCTTTTGAACATAAGAAAAAGAAACCTGGGTTAAATTTAACCCCGGGTAAAGCGTCAATCGGCCTTCGAACAACCCGGCCAGATTATTTACTTTTCATACATGCACAAATTGTAGTTAGATAATATTCTGGGATGAATATGAAAGATTTCTGTAGGGTGGATTTATCCTTTGGTTGTGCAGGAAAAATAATTAGTGTAAAAGTTGTTGTGACAACTTTTTAACCAGTTACATTATTCTGTAAAAGCGTAGATGGGTCGATGACACATTTCTTAATTAGCCTAAACTTGGGTGTAAAAAGAAACTGTTTGTGAAAAAGACCATTGTGATGCCAGATTTGTAACTACAACCAGTTAGAGGCACGCACAAGGTAACAATTGTAGAAAATGAATCATTAGATAGTGGTATGTTAACTAATCATTCTATGTTATAAATAATGTATGGTTAAGCGTATTAGGGAATATACACGTGACATATATATGTGACATGTATGTCTGAACATTGTGACAGCTGAACATTGTAACTTTAGGGTTAGATGGGATTAGATCGAGTTGGATTGTGACGAATAGCAAGAGTCGTAATAAAAGTAAAACTGACAGATACAGTCCTCACTGATTGTTAAAGCGCCGAACGCGCAGGTTTTCCCAACACCGTAAAAGATCCTCGCAACAAGAAAATGCCAATATACATGAATGGTTGCCACAGCCAGAGGTTTCTGAAATCCCCTGACTTTTCCCTGCCTTTTCCTGACAACTGTAAAATTTCCCTGACCAACTGAATTAACAATTTCACAAATAAGTCCCGATAATGGACTCAACGCTACCCTCTCAGCCATCACCCACCCATCTATTATTGCTTTCAGCAAGTCACGTTCAGTGTATATGAATTGAAAGTTCCTTAACATAACGTGCAAAAAAAACTGAAAAATTCAAAACTCAACATCAGCGTGTTCAAATTTCATGAAAAATATTCTACCAATGCAACACGATTCATGTCTGTAAATGTACAAATGTACTCTTAATATTTTCTTGCCTTCTGTCAGACGTAAATGTTTCCTGACTCGAAGTGAAATTCCCTGACTTTTTCCTGACCTTGAAGAAATTTTATTTTCCCTGACCATTTCCTGACCTCTGGCAACCAGGTGCTGCGGTAACATTTATTTGAGAATGCAAGGACCATGAAGCGACGGCTTGGGGATCGTTTTCACCATGTTGAAATAAAAAAAAAAACCGGTTCTAATCACATATAGGAAGTAAAAAGTAGCACATACCTCATCTTCTTGAAAAAGCTCTTCTTTATGTTCCCATGTAATGTAATTCACACCTCTGTAAAAAAATCAAAAATAAAACAAGAAGGAAAAATCTCAGGACTTTCCAAAGTAAAAACAAAAGGTACATAATTACTGTCTCACTGATCATGATCACCACTGTCTTCACCACCCAACAATGATAACTTGGACTGTCCTTGGCATTTGTTTATGCATTGAACATTATGCAAAAAGTTACCAAAGATCTGCAGTGGTTTTCCACACAACTCCTTGTAAATCCTGAAATTTTTAAACTGTCATTAAATCTTTTCCTTACGCATTTAAGGGCTCAAAGTGCTTGTTATGAATAATAAGGAGATTTGAACCCCGCAAGGGAAATACTTCAGGACAGGTTGAAAATAACGAAATTTACAGGATTTGTATGGACAACCATTCAAGGGTGATTGGGTGGCAAAAGTTGTTTTTCTCATACAAATCCTTTTAATTTTCGCGGCCGTTGCAATCGCTACTATTGAGATATATGGCTGTAAATTCACAGGTTACCTAATTTTAATATGCTCTTTCAGCTCATGCTAATAAAATTTTTCAAAAGCGAACTGTTTTCGTGTTTATCGAAAGTTGATCACGTGATCAACTAATGCAAGCAGCCAATTTCTACGCTCAAAAATTTCATTTGCCATCCAAGTCTGACCGTGTAAATCGCCCGTCCCATCCCTCAAAAGTAAAAGAATCAGCCTCTCAGCAAGGAAAACAGGTTACACACAGCCTCCTGGGTCACCCGTCCGGCATATGCCCTCTTTGACACAGAATGTAAAACTTGACTACCCAAGCTAGCGTCAGGCTTTGCCACAGGTAGCCCAATAATAATTATTACCTTAGTCTTGCTAAGTCACTGTAACAAGCTGGGTCCTCTGTGTTGTACCTTTGAATAGAATATACAAATGATAACTATTTCAATCAGTGTCACGTCAGCAGTACCCAGTTACTGGTCAATGAGGTGGTCTTCAGATCCAGCAGCTGGGGTAAACAGGTCTAGCCTACACCACAGTGCAAAGAAAATATATTTTCTAGCTTGCTTCTTAGGATGTACCACCCCAAAAACATTAACTTTTTCTACCACAGTCAATTGTATCCCGTAAAACTAAAATTTAGTTTAGTAGTAATATTGACAAGCCCACTGGGTAAGTGAAAGACAGAATCTAGCTCCACCCCAACCAAGCAGTGGTATTTCAGCTTACTTTAAAATATCTACATGTGAAAATTGCAAACCTTTGGCGGGTAGTAGTATAAACAAAGAATAACATGATTCGTATGTGATATTTGGCACAAATATCACTCGTGATATTTCAAAATTGTCTCAAACTTCACTCGCCTAACGGCTCGTGAAATTACTTATAACAACTTTGAAATATCACTCGTGGTATTTATGCCAAATATCACTACAAATCATGCTTTTACAAATACTAATTATAAATTATTTTACTCAATTTCAAAAAAAAATGCTTACAATTCAAACAGCACCGCCCAGTCTGGCAAAAACAATGCATGTGTGAGTCCTGCTCCATGCATCCCAATAAATATGTCAGAGTTATGGGTTATCTGGGAATAACATACATAAAACAAAATGTTTTACATCAAAAAGGTCATTAATAATACAGACTAACTTTATCATAATCATCATCATCATCATTATAAGTTACTATTTTATTAATTTTACTGCTCTAACAACAGAAAATGTTATTATTTTAAAAAAAAATTTATTTCAGTTCGTTAAATATTTTCACTAAAGAAACCCAATGTTAAAAAAGATATTTTAGAAAAATCAATAAATAACAATGACCATGACTAAAAACTAAACATTACTGCTAATAATAAGTTTTACCTTTAATTGCTCCAAGAATGGCATCTGCCTGCAAGAAAATAATATCATACAAAGGGCCAATATTACATACAAGGAAATATTATCATTTGGCTGCCCGTAACGCAAAGCGCTCGACGATCTTACCGAAAAATAGGGGACAAAGGACAACTGGTCTAGAAAATCTCATGATCATGTGGTCAAACCACGAGCTCCAGGCGAGTGCGTTTCACAGAAAAGTTTTGAACGTATAATTTGACGGTATTTCTAAGGTCTTTAAGAGTAAAGACCATGAAAACTATATCGTTGTTGTCAATTTGGTTTTCATAATAGCACTGACAGTTAAGAAAAAAAGTCCATTCCTTGGGCAGTGAAGTTTCCTCAAAAATCAGGCGCAAGAGACAAAGAAAAGCAAATTGCACTATCATCATTTACATGTACTTGTAAATTCAATGATCCATAAAATTTAATAAAAATTATACTCCCACCATACAATGTAGCTCTCAACCAATCAGCATGCACGAAATCACACAGTTGCTGCAAAAAGTGCAATATCAAGATGGTTATAATGTAAATAACAATTTCAAGAAAAAAAAAGAGAACTCACCAAGTATAATCAACAATTTTCACTTTAAACATTGGAACATGCATCATTGCACCTACAAGCTACATGTAATTTAAATAAAAAACAACATTATTATTATATTGACTGATGCTGAGAATGATATGAAGAATTGGAATTAACAACTCTGAGATTTCCATAATTCTTCACTTCATAGTAACTGAAAAAAGCCAAACTCAAAAACAATTATTGATTTAATAGTATTCACTCAAAATGCTTCGTATATCTCCTCTGAAAACTTTCTTCAAAACATCTGCCTGTTTCACAGGACAGTTTCAGAAGGTGAAGAGATGTTTTGTCCTGGCAGATATTGCTCAAAAGGCAGATGACATCCCTCCAAGAACATTGTTTTTTGTTGTTGTGGTTGCTTTGTTTTGCTCCTTTCAGTTATGATCATTTTATTCGGCTATTTCATCTTTGGATAGCCATTTTGACTAAAATATTTCGCCATATTTTTCTTAATTAAGTTCTATCTTCATGCTACAACAGCTTAAAGGGCTGCTGGGCCACTGCCTGGAAGCAAGGTTGCACATGTATATTTGACATACCATCACATTGTATATTGCTCACATCGTCCAAATTACTTTGGTCATGAAATGCCAGCTGGATGCCAGCTGGTTATGAAGAATTAGCCAAAAGATTATAGCCAATCAGAAATGACACAAATTTTGAATGAATAATATAAAATGTAATTTTACCAAGATACCTTTTTAAGGACGCTCAACGATATTAAAATTAAATTAAATTAATCCAGTAATGACATGAATTTCCACTATAATATTCCATCTAAACAGTTGCAAACACTGAATAATAATAAGTATAGTATACAACTATCCCCCGAAGGGAGGTGAACTGTGGTGGATGAGGTATACAGCTGTTTCGAGAAAGGTTGTTGGAAAAAGTGCACGCGACAATCCCGAAAGGTATTGTGGGTGGTTTTGAGTTCTTTGTTCTACAAAGAAATTTGAAAGAATGGCACGAGAGGCCATAGACGTATGTTTGCGAATTCTAAAGGAAAGCAACAATAGAAGATTCGTCAGCTGCAGTGTCAGGAACAGCGTATTGATCATATCCCATATTACCCTTCGGGATTGTCGCGTGCACATTTTTTCCGACAACCTTTCTCGAAATAGCTGAATATCTAGCGCTGCTCACCGACCCTGAGGGGGATAGTTGTTTTAGTATTTACCAAATCATTTGGATAAAACTGAAAAAAAGCAACTTTTTGTAAATTAAAAACGTCGCATAGTACGAACTTTGTTTACAATTTACAAACATTTCGGGTATTTATGAAGTGCATTTTACGATTTTGTTGCAAATTCAGCACGAAAATAATTTTCTACCTACCACTGAACACTGACAAGCCAAAGTTCGTCGCTTTCTTAGTATTTTTTTGCACGACTGCTTCATTTATCGCACAAATTTCGTCTTCCGAAAATGTCTCGAAACGTGACGCCATCTTGTCTACGGTAGCAAAACAGTGAATAGCCAAGGACATTCCGAGTTACAGAAGCCAATGAAAACGCGCCAAAATTGTTTTTCACTGATTTGGTAAATACTGAAAAATGATACTATTTACAATGTAATATTCAATAAGTAAATACATGTATATCAAACAGGAATTGAGTTTAAAAAGGTTTCAACAATATTTTTCAACTCTCACATTTTAGTACTAATTTAGAAATAGCTGAATCAACTGTCTGTATTAAGAAAACAACGTTAAGGACAGACAAGTTAATTTTTATAAACTTAAGTAATATATTTAATATTTATAGTTTCCTCAAAGAAAATATAAAATCAAGTAATTCTAAAGAAACGGTGAAAACAACGAGAACTGTAAAAAATAACAACAATAGATCTAAGGGCCTGTTTATATAGAGGTGCGGGACCCCAGGTCGCCTGTCCATATAATATCTCATTTTAATTTGATCACGTTTACATGATAGGTGGGGTAACCCGCAAAGGCGGATAGCCCGGTCTACCAGAACAGGTTACCCTCTAGGCCGGGGTCAAATTTTGTCATGTAAACGTTTCAAGGTGGGGTAACCCGCCTGGCCGGGGTTGGATTCGTGATACATCAAATTCGCGCAAAATTCACTTTGGCGGTGGCTTTGCATCATTATTAAAGGTAACAATAGAAAGCCATTGCACTGAAGGTTGCAGCAAGAGCAACAAGTGAGTGTAGAAGTGCATTAATCGCCAAAACACGTGGTTTGCCAGCATTTTTCTTGTTTACGTGCTTAGCGACCATATAATAATCTTGAGAAAGTGCACCCCGGGATGGCGGGGTTGCAAGATTGCATGTAAAGGAGGGTTAATATTTAACCCCACCTAAGCAGGTTACCTCATCCACCTGGGGTCCCCCACCTCCACGTAAACAGGCGCTAATAAGCTAAAAAACAACTTTGCACGTGCAACACACTTTTTTCTAATCAGCAAAAAAAAAAAAAAAAACTTTGCACGTGCAGCACACGTTTTGCACGACTAAAAAGTGAAACTTCTTTTAACTTCCTAGTTACACGTTTTATGGAGGAAATGTCTGTGCTCCCGTTCACTTTGCTTTCTCCACCACCGCTCATGTTTTCACCTTGGAAGCCGCTAGAATTTCTCATTTTCACACCGCCGCTATATAATTTTTACGTTTTCCTTCCAACGAAATTGGTCTCCGCTCGCTCTAGCTCTTTCCCTGTTGTCCACGTTAATGTAGACATTAAAATGTAGTGAAAAGAAAGACGCGGCTTTTTTGCTGCTGTTTTTTTTCCCTCTAAACGTCCGAGCGGCCATGTGATTTAACGCCGAAACGAACGGGGTGCTTGAAATGTAATAATAATAATAATAATAATAATAATAATAATAATACTTATATAGCGCCGATATCAAGATTGCTATTTTCATCAGCGCTTAAAATTTCACGTCGGCTTACATGAAGAGGCGGACGTACGGATCGACGGACGGACGGGCGGACGATTACGTCACGACCAAAATTTTTTGGATGCATAGATAACCAAATTTTCTTACCTATGGTGCTCCGCTTCGCGCGAGAGAGCTCCGCTATCAAAAATATACTAGTAGGAATATTATTATTACCTCATCTTGATTAAGAATTTTGCGATACTTTGTGCTCCGGGCTAACAGGGTTATTCTAAATTCTTCTTCCTAAAATAATAATAGGGACCTTAAGCAACGAGAAAATTGACGTCACAGAAGTCAACAAAAGGTATTGTTTTAGCAATACAAATGTATAATTTGTTTTATTTGATTAACACAGACTTACACTGTGGTTGTCCTGTTTCACACCAAGCCTATGAAGAGTGTGCTCTGAGAAGGCCTTGAAGAGCCCACTGCCAACACAACTAGGAACCTGCAAAACATTGATGTATCCAAGTAATCGTAACCCACTTGCTCCTCGGTCAGTGTTAGCAAAGTAAATTAAGATTTTTTTCCAAGGACTTTTCAAGGACTTTAATCTGAGAAAATAGTAGTAATGAACCTATTGCCCTTCTTAGAAATATCACCTCAACTCTATTTTGCCATAACCAAGTCAAAATTCAAGGACAAGTGGAGAAATTTTACTTTTTTCAAGGACTTCCTCTGAAATCTAAGGACTTTTCAAGACATAACTGTGTGAACTCTGCCAGTGTAATTATGCCCTATTGTTGAGACAAACCACAGAATAGCTACATGGAACCAGGGGTTTCCATAAAAATAAAAGTAGCCAGCAGGTTTGAATAGAGTACCCGACTGTATCAACAAGGGGGCGTTAATCCAGCGCCTCTAGAGGGGGCATGCTCCCTTGAAATTTCAAAGCCCTAAAATGCGATTTTCCGGCGTTCTGGGGACTCAATTGAGTACAAAAGAGTGTGTTTTTCATTCAAGAAAATGCAGCTTTCATTCAGGTTCTGATTATCAGCCACACAACTTACAAGCAATGAACAAACGTACATTTGAACGAGGACAAATTCTGTGAAATCTCCAAAGAAACGTGTGAAGAATTGACTGAAATACAGCGCTTGCATAACCAAAGCATAACTCAAAACCAGTGGGCCTTTACGTTTTCATTCAGATTTTATGATATGTTATTTTGTTTACGACATCATAAGTACTTGTTGCTTCCTCTTTCGGGGAGAAAGTAGCCGACTTCTCTGAGCAAAATAACAGACGCGTTTCGTCGGTCGTCGGTGCTTATTGAAACCCCTGGTCCGAACTATTGTAGCAGGATTCTACTTAAGGTTTACAAGTACGTGTAAGCGCAATCCAGCACTGGCCACCTCTCAACTTCCGGCCCTTAAAAATTACTGTATCTACAAAGGAATCTACAGTAGGTGTAATCATTTGCTATCCTTAGCTACGTGTATCCACTTAGTGATGGTGAACAACATTTTAAACAGAAACTACAGTGTAAAGTTATACCAAAGGCATGTTGTAATAGAGACCACGGATCATCCTTGGGTTGAAAGAAAAGACAGCGTCCCTGAAACACACCTGAAAAGATATGACAGCGAAACACAGGAAGATTACCAATAGACAGGGCGGGTGCTGAGAGTTCTAATAAGGGCTGGAAGCAAGAGAAATGGAGGGATATTATGCAACAGTGCAAAATATTAAAGGAAGCTAAGAAAAATGGGCAGAAGAAAAGAATGCAAGGTTCTGGAGTGGGAGGTTTCAACCCCCACCCCCTCCCCCAAAAGAAAAAAAAACAAAGCTAAGTCTTGACTGACGCAGAAGGATCTTTCTCTGTCAATTACTAAAACATATAATGTAAGTTTGCTTGTGTGGCGTCGACTGAAATTTCAATAGGATTGCGGGGAGGTTACAAACACCCACAACAACCAAACACTTACCCTCTTGCCAGCATAGTCTTTTAAGCGGATTATTGGATGCTTGGTGAATGCCTTCCAGGTGTCTGAGAAGAAGTCACGATATGAAAGAGAACCCTGTACCAACGTAACAAGAAAACAGTGAAACACAATGCTCTATCAACTGAATGTTTTATGATAAAAAAAATACTAATTATTGCTAAAAAGAAAGGAAACATTCACCTAGCCATTTTGTAACTTCAAGATACAAAATACTCATAAACATTAATTTGATATAATTATTAATTAACAGTATAAAATCATGCCCGTTTGCTTAGTGGCGAATTCGATCTAAATTTTAAATCAGGTGGTTTGTTTGTTTTAATCGATTCAAATTGTGTACCATTATTATTGAATAACGGTAGTAGTATTCAGTTCTTACTGTATGTCTCGATGTGGTAGTTAATTTTAGCAAGACTAGCTTGCTGTTTGGGGTTTAAAATTTTTAAAAACCCAACAGCAAGCTGGTCTTGCTAAAATTAACTACTACAGCGAGTAAGAACTGAATACTACGAGTGGACATGGACAGTGAGCTGGAATTAGATTGACACTTTAACAGGTATGGGCAACATAATTAGGTTCAACCAGATTATTTGCAACCATTATGTGGCGTAGAATCCACCAATGTGAATGATGGTGGTTTTTCTTTCTGTTGTTGTTTGTGCAGGGTCATTTTTCAGGAGTAAGCTAGTCTACCTTATTTCATACATTTTTAGCATGTAAGTGTTTGATCAAAAGTGCACTTAAAAAAACTTACTGTATCCCACATTACAATGTTGATATCAGTGTTAAAACTTCCATTCATGTGCTGTGTCACATACAAGTTCACAAAGTCACAGAAGTGATGATATAAGTTGATCCCTGAAAATTTTAAACAACTGTCAATAAAGTTGAATGCTTTGAAGTGTGTGAACCTATGCAGGCATTTGTAGTCTGTCACAAGCAGGTGGAATAATAATTGTCTGTATTGGCTGAGTCTAGTCCTAAATTATTGCTTGCATGTTTGTAGGACTTCTGTCCTGGCAAGACAGTGACTGACATAAACAACCTCTAATCTATTTTATTCACTTTCAGAGTCAATGAGAGTTGTACACTGTCAGCAAACGTCATTTAAAGTATCTTAAATGACCTGATTGTGGTCAATTAAAATACATGTACTATGGATATATTATTGGGCAAGCCATGATCTTAGTACAGCCATGTAGAATGTTAAACTGCAGAGTGAGGGTTTGTTTAACATTTGTACATAGAGGTGGGGGAACCCAGATAGGTGAGGTAACCTGCTTAGGTGTGATAATGTACCTCATGTCCATACAATCTCCCATGTTAATTTGATCACATTTACATGATAGATGGGGTGACCATAATCATAAGAGATTATATGGACAGGCAGGTTTCCCCACCTAAGCAGGTTTAACCTAACCTACCTGGGGTTCCCTGCCTCCATGTCAACAGGCCCTAAAGGTCAGTGACCCGAGCATTGCAATCTTTCTTTTGTCATTGTAAACAGGTAAAAAAGGTAGTAGCTTTACTGTTAGAGCAGTACCGTTCAAAAGTAAGTTGACAGTCCATTGCGAGTCTTCATTCTTGACTCGATTCTCGATTCTTGATTCCTGGGTGAATCAAGAATTGAGAATCGAGAAAAAGTTATCGAGAATCCAGTCAACGATCGAGTCCCACAAGACAGAAAACAAAAGACTCACCAATGACTGATTTCTCGATAATTTTAGATTGACATAACACAACACCGCATGGTTTATTTGCCTGAGCAATGTATGAGGCCCTAGCCTGTTGGCAGGGTCGTAACGAGGTACAGTATGTGGATTATATAATGATCTCATTTTCATCCATTTTTTGTGATCCCTGATCCCAAAATTCAAATGAATTAATTAATTTCCTGAGGGTCTGTCAACTACTACTGTATCTTGAATTTGCATAGTTCAGGAGTTTTTCTCAGGAATCAAATGGACACGAGACATGTTAGAAGACTACTCAAAACTTGAACAAAGGTTGTAGATTTTTGCAGCAATTGTGTATCAAGAGTAGGGGGCAAATTACTCAGAACTAAACAAAGCCCGTTCCGGTTCAATAAGTCTTGCAGGAACTGAGTTTCGAGAATTGAGATGGAACAAGCTCAATTCTAAAATTCTCACGAGGATCGAGAATCAAGTGTCAAGTTAGTTTAGAAAGGTATTGTACAATTACATGCAACACTTGTTATATTCTTTTAATTTGTCAAATAAATTTTAAAAAACATAAAATCAGACTGTCTATTTTTGTTAAATTTGCTCGAGTTCATCAATAAGTCTTATTAATTTTGTAAGGTGCCGCTACAGGGCAGTACTATTATGTACTGTAACTGCTCACCTGGCAATGACTGGGACTGATTATTTAAACCAATTATTTAGAGCAGTATACAGCACATGCATGATGCATGAGATAAGGCACAAAAATAAAATTGATTAATATTTTAGTTTAAAACCTTTACCAAGGAAACTCTCCTTCCCTTCCAAGACTGTCTGAAGTTTACCCCCTTAATATTTACCTGCATCTAATTTCATAAATATTGTTGGTCTTTGTATTACCACATCACAGTTTCCAGCCTGGATAGGTTTGTCAGGAAGTGAAGTAAAATGCTCTAACTCTGCAAACCTTGCATAAGAAAAAAACAAATCACAAGTGTGAAAATCATCATCACTAAAATTGTTTTGAAAGAAATATATACCCCATAATCAGACTGCCATATCTTTACTCAAAATACATGACAGGAGTCTTGTAACTTACAGAACAGGCCGCAGAGATTGCAGCATTACACACCTTTGCAAGCATAAATCTGCCATATTAAAGTGCAGCAATCCCCCTGGCCTGTACTGTCAAGTAGTAAACAAGATGAAAAAGAACACGGAAGAAAATAGTAGGTAGAATGTATATGTAGGACTTGAACCAACATCACCTGATACATATAATCCACGTCCCTATCCACTACAAGTGCTAACTGCAAACACTGGTTAATTTTGAAAGGTTACAATTTTCAAAAGAATGCTTAATGAACCCTTATCACCGTACTTCACTGATAAACCCTGTAACAATTCAACTCTTTTCCTTGCAATACTCTCTCTTACTGTGCTTTCCCCAATTTTGTTCTCAAAAATGTGCCCAATAAAATAATTTGCATAAATTAATGGTTAAAGAGGAGTATAGCATTGTGTAATAAGTTACATAAGGTGTCCAACCTGATTTCATGGTATCCATTCTAGTCACAACCCATTAAAAATAAGACCTAAATTATGCTCTCAAACTTGGGCATTAAGTCAAGGCTGTCACTAAGTGTTGGGGGTTGGGGATTTGAGTGCAAGCCCTCACCTACTTTCATAGAAAGCAAAAGGATAATAGAACCAAAAGAACTTTCTAGCTGTACAATTCCCCTCCTACTAATTGCATCAATACCCAGCAGCTTGATATTTTAGCAGCAGCCCTGTTAAGTTATACATATTATTTACCTAGTTTTTAACACCCACATTTGGCTTCTCTAAGGTACACAGAACATGATTGTTGTATAAACTTTTCACTTCCACCACATCAGCCGATCAAATTGGCTAGTGGAACTATTAAAAACATATAGTTACAGTGCATACATGCAGAATGGATCAGTTAACTAGTAGACTCAATATTAATTTTTTAGGAACTGCAAAAGCATAACATAGTACATAAACCACCCACAACCACCTCTCTCTCCCTTCAAGACTGACTTTAAATGTATAGGTGATACTAGCATCAGAAAGCCATATCTCACAAGCCCATTAGTACATGTACATATCTGAACCTACATATTTAATATGTTAATAATACTTAAGGCTAGTTTGCACAAGCAACGGAGTTGAAGTCATAAGTGGAGTTGTAAGAGCGCTAGTGACTCAGTGAAAATAAAAAATTAGAGTCCTAGGCAATCAGTCATAAGCATGACAGAATCGGAGACGGAAGAATCAGAAAGGTTCCATTTTCTTCTGACTCCACTTATTATGACTCTGTCGCTTACGGTCTAGTAAAAACCAGATTGTCTGAGTCGGAAGCAGAAGCGGAAAGATAAACTAATCACAATGCATGTTCCCACACTTTGTGATTGGTTTAGTTCTGCTTCTCGGCTTGCAACTCCGACAACCTTAAGTTTTCACTTGATCACAAACATAGAAGTGGTAAGCAGAATCAGAACACTGTTTTCACTAGATTGTAAAGTTCTATGCTTCTGATTACGACTCCGACTCCGATTCCATCGCTAGTGAAAACCAGGCTATAATCTAGTAGTAAAATGGGGCAAGAATCATGTGTACACTGGGTCAACTCACCAGGACTGAAGGGGACTTTTGTTTTTCCCTTGACTCTTGTGCAAATCTTTCTTGAAAGAGCAATGACCACCCACCTCACCTTCTTTGAAAACATCTTCTCGAAACCTGTGATTAATTTTGTCATGACTGAAATATTTATAGTCTAGCTAGTGCCAGGGTCCTCTACATGTATTTACACTGTAAATAAGATGTACACCTTCCTAAAATGGACATCTAGGGTTGATTGATACCTATTTATACCACATGCCCGTACAAGTATTCTTACAAAATGAAACAACAGGCACCCCAGCTCTCAAGGGTCAAACAGACAACCGGCAGGCAAATCCTATAGTGACCATCACTACTAGGGCTATGTGTGTGAAAATCGTGTGAAAAGGGTGTGAAAAGTGTGTGAAAAAAAGGAACCATGTGAAATCAATGTTGGAAAAAATACAAGTTCACCACATCAGCATTTCACATGCATGTGAACTTTTTGATATGCGTGTGAAATTTTGTAATACATGTGAAAAATTTTTGTCATATGTGTGAACTTTTTTTCCATGCATTTTATTCCATGTGAAATCTTTTCATACATGTGAAACAATTTTGTCATGCATGTGAACTTCAAATTTCACATGCATAGTAGATGCTATGCATGTGAAATTTTTCACATGCATGTGAACACTTTTAGGCATGTCAGAGTGAGCATGTGAATTTTTTTCAGGGCTTGTAAAATGCAACCACTATGAACCATATTTTTATGAAAATGCCATGAATTTCTAGTGAATACCCCATGAAAGGCATTTCATGGCTCATAAAAACTGCAAAATTAAATTTCATGCCATGCCACATCTAGCATTCTATGGCTCATAGCTGATAAATATCAAAGTAAGTTGACTATGAGGGTCATGAATTTTTGAAGAATAAGATTTGATAAGTTACTAATCTAGAAAATTCACTATACTTTAATGCATCAGACCTTTAAGGCAAGTGATCACAACAAACTTGCTGTTACAAATCATCATCATCAAAACAATTAAAGGCGAACCCCAATATACCAAAGTGCCAAGCCCCAGAGGGGCCCTCTTGTAAAGCAGCGGACTGGAATTAACATTCAAAGCTCTTTTCATGATCTAGCTTGCAACCAGATCTCTCAGTCAATAACTGTATTAATTATTATTAAATACACAGGGGTTTCAAAACAGACTAGGGTTCTCCCGGCTACTCGACTGTATATCGCTGGCTGCGCTGGTCATAACAATTAGCTTGTGACAAACAATCTCGATTGTCACAGCCGCCTGCTTTTCCAGAGTTGGCACCTACTTAAAAACATTTTGAAACCCCTGAATACACTGTACATTCTTCATTATATTTGGCTTGATTAAAACCTTTAGTACCCTGGTCCCAGAGGTTTTTCTTGATTTTTCTTCGCGAAAGAGATCAACAGCAAGCCGCGAAGCGGCGACAACGAGTCGCGTAAGCGACGAGGAGAGAGAGAGAGAAACCTCTGGTTACCTTGGCCTCGAATCTCACTTCCATGCTGACGACAGGGTCAGGATCTGACCCTCGGGCGTTGATTGGTTGATAGTTTTTCAAACGCGCAAACCAATTTGATTGGCTCGTTTAATTGTAACTACCGAGGGGACGCTGAGGATTTTCACACCTCATTTTGCCTCTCTCTACTAGGGAAGAAAATTGTTTGTATGCTGCACTCGCAATAACATTTGCACGGGACCAAGGCACGTAGAGGCACGCCATGGATGTTGTTCCTGAAAGAATATTCGAAGAAATTTTGACCTCGGTACTTAATGAGCGCTTTCCCGAGTCTCACTGAGCAACAAAAGAAAGCTTTGTTCGCTGCGTTGAGTCGAAAGGATGTGTTCACCATTTTATCAACCGGACATGGAAAGTATATTTTCTGTTACAATACTGTCATTCCATTAAATAAACTAACTTGTTTAGGGCAGCAAAATAAAAAATCTCCGAATACGGAATGAAAGTTTCCTTGTAGGAAAAAAACATACAACTTTGTACAAGTGCGTAATCATTTTCGGTGCAGCTTGATTTTCCTGCGACGCCCGAAAAAGATCTAACCGACGCTATTTTTGGCATAGACCTATTGGGCTAACTCAATGTTGTACCCAATTCAAATCTCCCGGGGATAAGATTCTTTGTGTATTGCATTTGCATTGTAATGTGGCATTCACATTTAAATGATATGGAAATTCCTGAAACAAAACGTTTTATTCCCAAAGGGTTTGAATTGGGTACATTGAGTTAGCCGAATAGGTCTATTGGGCCAACAAAAACCTCTGAAAGTACATTCGGAACCTTAAGGGTTTGTTGTGCTGCATGACTCTTCCTAGCGTCGTTGTTCCACAAAAAAAGGAAATGGAGCCACCAAACCAAAATGAGAGCCAGATTGCCAGAATACATATTAATATTACTATTTTCAGGGGAATGCCCGCGAATCGACGCGAACGGCGCGCCCCGCAGAAGTAAACAATGTAATAAGCGCGATTGATAGACTCTCGCAAACTTTACAACTTCCCGCTGGCACACTGCCGACAGAACAGATGACAATGTTTGTGAAAAATACTTGTTATTATACCCAAATAAATTCTGCAAATCCTGCAGCATTCGTTTGAAACAATGTCGGTTTCTTTATAAAGTGGTCTTCTTATTCCTGGACTCTTGTCGCCCATCGTTAACACATGCTTTAGCTTGACCCCGATTAACAAATCACTCTTTACCACCCAAGTGAAGATGGTTTGTTCATAACATAATTTCCCCAGGTCTACCCCCACTTAAAAAAATAGCGGCTGATAAGCACGTGTTTGCTAAGTTGCCATTGGTCACTCTTTTTATTAGCAATTTGACGCGTTTGACAGCTGTCGTCTGCATGAAAGTGAGATTCGAGGCCAAGGTAACCAGAGGTTTTTCTCTCTCTCCTCGTCGCTTTCGCGACTCGTTGTCGCCGCTTCGAGGTTTGCTCTTGATCTCTTTCGCGAAGAATAATCAAGAAAAACCTCTGGGACCAGGGTAAACCTTTAGAGCATCCGATCCACATGTGCATCTTTACAAATATCATTGTCTTCATTGTTTGCTAGAACATGCTATATAAATTTATGTATTTTGTCAACTGTCTCATCTAAATTTGTGGGTTGTGTATCTTACCACTTAAGTTTCCACCCAGAAAGATGTGCACCATGATTTTTGTTAAGTGGGGAGGGCTAAATCCTGAGAATTAAACCATTCTTTCAACAGATCTTCATTGAGGACAAAACGGACTTAAGTTTATTACTCCATCAGAAAACTTACTTTGCTAACATATACGACATATGTAACTACACTTTATGAATGTTTTGTGTCTTACTGTAACGTTCCTCGTTGTAACGTTTGAAAGTCCACTTGAACATGCAACAGTTCCTTGCTTTGCATGCTTTTTGAGATTTCTTTTGATACCGTTCGTTCAACTAATGATTCCTTGAAGCAAACAACTGGCATGCTCTTGGTTTGCTCAAGTTGTCTTTGGTTCAATGAGCTTTCCGTACCTGAGCTTATCCAACATGAACAACGTACACAACTTAACAATTAGTTCATGCGTCAGCGTGCGTATGTCGAGATATTGAGCACGCGGGAAGTTTGGAGAGCACGAAAGAGGCGTAAGAGTTGCACGAGGCGCAGCCGAGTGCAACTCTAGCCTCTTGAGTGCTCTCCAAACTTCCCAAGTGCTCAATACCTCGACATACGCACAGCTGCAGCATGAACTAATTGTTTTATAACATTATCAAAGCGATCAATGCAGCAGTTAACTGAAAATTTTATTATTGAAGGGCGCGCTCAAAGCAGTACGCGTCAATGTTTACGTGAATATATCTTTTTTCCTCACAGTTAATCTTATGTTTTTATCCTGAAACTGAGAGAAAGTGTACTCTAAAATGATTGTAAAATCCATATTTAGGTGCCGGAAAACTATTAATTTACCGAAAAATTGTTATTGAGAGAAAACAACTTTGCAAAGAATGAGCTCACGCCATAGCCCGCACAGCTCGCGGAGATGACAACAACAACAACAACACTCACCTCTTTTCCTTACTATCGGTTAACAAATTCAAACGTTTCCTCTTAAATTTCTTTACAAAACACATGGTAAACGCTTCATTGTCTATTGCTGAGTTATGGATGCACTCAAGAGACTCAGGATTGCTAAGCTCACAACAACTCGAGGAATTACGAATAGTTTATTGACGTCATCAGCGTGCTCAATAGGAATATGAAGCACGCTCGCGCTATTGAATTTGATTAGGCGAATTTTCTAGCTATGTTATAAACGTATTTAGTCGCCTGACTTAGATTCATGTAGTGAAGGCCAGCATTTCCTTAAATTCTGAAAGGTTTCCCAACTTGAAGGAACAATGTTAAGTTTTTCTCTTGCTTCTAACACTTCAAATGCGCTGGAATATTCTAATCAATGCTGAAAATAACCGCTTTTTCGACTCAAACGAGTGCACTTTCTCTATCGCAAGATTAGCCGCCATGTTTGTTGTTTCCCAGGCTTCCCCGTGGTTTTAGCACATGCGCGATTTGATTTACAATGTCACGTGCGGCTTTTCAACCAATAGAAAATTGTAAAATGAAGTTCCGTTGAATAGTTCAAATTCACGCGGACTTCACAAGCAACACAACGATGCAAACAGAATATTTTCGTTACTTTCGGATAGATAGAAAGACTGTCTTTCAATAATACCCATGTTATTTTCGAGAGACAGTGATCAACTGCAAAATTCTTCACAAAAAGCATGTTTCCAAGTCAGCAACTCGGCTGGATTATCGCAGAAAGGTATGTTCTTCTTGATATCGTGGTTCGTAACAAGAGCTTACTTTGGTTTTCTAATAACTTTGCGTAAGCTTAAACTTTCAAAGATACATCTTAATTTAAGAAGCATGCACAGATATGCCATTGATTGATTCCTTTTTGTTTACTGCAGAAAAAACTGTACTCTTTGTTGCAAATCGTCAATGGAATACTCTGAAAATTTTATGTTCTGACGCTAGTAGGCTGTGGCAGACTTGTCAAGACCAATGTTAAATAAAATAGGAGAAGAAATAGCATAAGTTTCCGATATGCATGCAATGTATACTACAAGTTGGAAGCAATTAAGTTTCCAGTTAATTTATAATGACTTGAGAGTAGAACTAAACCTATAAAATTTGAGTAGATTTGTTTATTTGAGCTTCGATTCATAATATTCATACATCTGCAATAAGGTCAAAAATAAAAGGCAGCTCTATCTAGTCTGATGTGTGGACCTTCAGTTCAGAAAGCTGTTCAGCCACTTTGAAAGAAGCAGTCAGTTAGCATTATTTTTTTTCCATAAACATGCTTGTATTTTTCAAAGTTGTTTATTTACTTTGTCTTTTCACTGACATTGAGTGCTAGATTGCTTTTCTGTAACTTGGTATTCCTTAATAGGTGGAAATTCTAGATTGGCCACAATGTCATTCACTATCATAATTATTACAATTTATAAGAAATATTTCTAACCAAAAATTAGTATACTATTAGTTATTTTATTGATGTAGGAATAATAGGTATAAAAACTGAGCATGATTGAAAGTTTTGTTTTTATTATTATCCTCCAGGCAATAAATATTGACAAATAAACAGGATTAGACATTGATGTTTCCATTAGCCTTATGTGCCTTTTTTGAGTAACTTAAATTTACATTTAAGTTCATTTTGGGACATGTGAGTCAGTTGAACTGAGTTTCACTGTGTTTATAATATGTTTGCCAATCAATTCTATCCAGTTTCCTTTTCACTTTTTGCCAGTTTTATATAAATCAAGTTCTTCTGAAAATACCCGTAAAATTATAAATAAACCAACAGATCAGGCTATAAACCTGAAGTTGTTTGTGACTATATGCATGCAGTTGACAGTACTTCAGACAAATTTATTGCAAGCGGAAAGTGCAAATGTAAATTTGTGTGTAAATTGATCTAAGCTAGTTGATTTACTGAATATTTGCTTGTGAAACAGCATACCCAATTTGTGTGAAGTGGTATGGGAAATTCTACCCTGCAAGCGAAGTTTTCTCTCTTGCATGGCTTTTAGCATTTACGAAGTTGCTTGGGTGGCTTGTCTGTCGCGTAGTTGGTTTGTTTACGTGTAAACAAACCTCTGCTCGCAGGGTAGTGAAATTCTATTGCCATTCATGATCTCCGATCTCTGAGGATTTACATGTGAAAGCTCATGTGAAACCTCATGTGAAGTGTATGCGAAAATAATGTGTGAATTAGTAGCATGTGAAATTCTAGATGTTTTGCCATTCATTGAGGATTAAGTACATGTGAAAGCCCATGTGAAACCCCATGTGAAGTGTATGAAAATATGTGTGAGTTTAAATGAGGATTTACATGTGAAAGCCTGTGTGAAACCCCATGTGAAGTGTATGTGAAAATATGTGTGAAAGGGATGACGTCGCTTCACACCCTTTTCACATATATTTCACTATGCAAAATTTCACATGCACGTGAAATATGTGTGTGAAATGCATGTGAAAAGTGTGTGAAAAACGTGTGAAAAATGTGTGAAAAGAGTGTGAAAATAGGACATTTTTCACATGTTTTTCACATGGTGTTTCACATACATACTCCTAGTAGTGCATGTTAGAAAGAGTTACTATATTGTAGTCATGGGCAGAAGCAATAGTTCAGGACTTTGTAGTGTTGCTACTTGGATGCATGCCATTTTTTTTTAACCATTAGTGCACCACACTCAATTATCAATTGGAGGTGAGGTAGCTTATGAATACAATGGCTCACTCCCGTAGCACCCTGCGACTATAAAGGCAGTATTCATTAGTCAATATATTTATGGAATCTACTATTATTTACAAGAAGCATTTTTTTTACATTTTGCTGCCTCCCATTTACAGAAGAACTCAAAACTAACAGAGATACAATTGTAAGCCCTGCATTCTCTAACAAAATCATTCATTAACTAAGACAGGCATGACTTGACCCCAAAGCAAACAAAATGTGAGAGCTGCTTGCCCAAAGGGCAAGCTGGAATTAAAGATTTTCTCAAGTCATGTAACAGTTGTCTCTCTCTAGAATATCAGTCATCTCTTTGCTACCCTCGGGAGCAATGGGGGTGCAGGCTACTGTATGTTCCCAGGATAGGGCGAGATCGAGAGGGGGTAACCAAGTCAGCGTCTATCTGCAGCATCTTACCTGTCTGTTGAAGAATCGGGGTTGAAATTTTTGAAATCAAAGTACATGTTCTTGGCATGACAATACCAAAGATTAGTGGTACATATCAATGAAGAATCTTCCTTAAAAAAAAGCAAAGTAATAGATCGAGCGTTGGATTGAATTAAGTTTAACGAAAATCAATACATGTATAAAGTGATCAAAAAGGAGAGAAAGTATTTATATTAAAGTCAGTCATGTGCACATCTGTATACATGTAAATCACTGCTTCATTGATATTATTTTTATTGTCTGCACATCAGTCTGCAGTTCACCCTTTTCACATGAATGTGTATTCTTCATCTAAAGGGTATGCTTGCATGCTTGTTAAATAAAGTTTCTTCTCCTTAAGTGACAGACTGCATATATCATATTGTGCATGTACCTATCTACATCATTACCGGTTCATTGGGCTGGCATAAATCCAGTAATTGTCTCTTCATCTTCTTGATATAACCAAAATCTCCCTGTTCCCAAAATAATCTGACCTGGTCCTCTAAGGTCTTAGCCCTGTAGAGTTCAATGATCACCCAAATTTTCTCATTACGGTTTAATTGACTGTTACTACCTAACAACAATATCAATGATATTTTAATACATGTAAGTGATTGCATTAATAATATTAAATGCTGCAGTTATTTCTATCTAATAAGGTCACAATGCAAAGCTCTGCATGCTCTTATAACAAAAATATGTTTATTATTGTACACGCCTTGCTTGATCTGAATCTGGGAAATTCAGGGTCCTCAGAACTTGGGTTCTGTGCAAAAACTATCACTACTTTCTCGGTATTGATGTTGCTGTTTTTCTTTTGCTTTTTGTTTTTGTTTTTCTTCATTCTCTTTTACATTATTTTTCAAAAAAATGTTTTTTTTTATAATTTAGTTACTTATTTGTTTTTTATTTATTTATTTTCATTTTATTACTACATGTATAATCATTATTTTTAATTTTCCTCTTTTTTTCTGGCAGTTTTTGCCTTACATGTATAAACAACAGAGAAGTGGTTTCATCTTACAGACATTAAGTGATCCCAAAATACATGAGTATACTTGCCAACTCTCACGCATTATGCATGAGTCTCACACCTGTGGGCTAAAAACATTGATCTCACACATCAACCACAATTCCTCATGCCAGAGTCACAAATCGCGACAAATAAAAAATTTATTGTTTCTTTACACATGATTAATAACGTAAATTCAATTGCATTTCCACAAAAAATATAATTTATTCCAAAAAGGTGCTGAATGATGACTTTGTGTCCTAATGAAATCAAAACACACTAAAATTGTCATCTTTTATAAGTAGCTTCAGAAGTGCTCAAAGATCGTTGGAACATCTTTGGAAATTTTCGGAAAACTGTTGGAAACCTTCGGAAGTCGCTGGGATTGACACTTTTGGAAATCCTGGTCATGACAACATGAAAATCTCACACATGTGACTCAGAAAAAGTTGGTAGGTATACTTGTGCACCTCACGGTTTTCTCTTAGAAAACCTTCAACTAATTGTTGGTGCATAATTTTACATTGTTTCAAAACAAACAGCATGGAAATGCACTAAATAAATACAATGTAATATTCAGAAAAGCAAACATGTACATGTACTGAGCATTTGTTTGCTCATTACATTTAACCCTTCCTATAATTTTATTTTGCGCCCTAACAGTCTCTTAAATAAACATTATTCTGTAATTTGATGGAAATTAATAATTAATTAACACTAGATGTTAAGGGCCTTTCTATATGGGGAGAACTCTGGTGTGATTTTTTTTTTTTTTTTGCCAAGCTGGCCCACCTTACCGGGCAGCGCTTTTGGTTCATGCCTTGTTTTCGTAAAAATTTAATAATTAATAATTATAATATTATTGTTCTTGTGTATGTATAAGATGTCAGTTGACGGAAACTTTATCATTATGGAATAGTGCCTATTTAAACAAGTCGCCTGCAAATTAAAATCACGAGTCCCATGAAAACAATGTGTCTGCACCATCACAAAGGATATATGATGCTGACACATGCCGCGTCCTTTGACTCGCTGAGTGAAGTGTTAGAGCATTTCCACAATACAAAGGTAATTTAACTTACCGTAATTGTTACTTTGTCTTACACTGAGATGACTGTGAGACGTTTTCACAGCACTCTCCTTTTTATTGGAAACTACAATGATCATTCAACTTGTCCTTTTTTGACCAAATAAATAATTAGAGTGTAATGTATAGAGTGCAACAAAAGCAAACATGAAGTGTAAGGTTACATATTTTAAGGATTTAAGCCAGTAGAATGTAAGAAAAACAAACATGAAGTTGAAGGGTTTCAAACTTTGCTCGATGTTGCTTTTGTCTTGAGTGTTGTGACTCGTGTCATGACTTGCGTTACATGTTGTAACTTACCTTCCCGTGTTGACAGATTTATCTGGGATTAGTTTTTGAACTTTGAACAATCGGACATTTTGATATAGTTTAAAAAGGAATGCATGGACCTTTTGTAATCATATGGGAACCAAGATCAGGGTGTGAGCGAGTGAGATTAAAACTGTTTCAATTTAACCAATTGCGAGTTCTTTTGTTGGTGCATGTTACCAATTCTCAACAAAAAGTGGCGACCCTTCCAGGACCAATTCTTGAGAAAATCGTAACCTGGAGTTCAGTTTCACATGAAGAATACAATGCAGTGAACAGACCACGTTTGTAAACAACATGACGGAGCTTGAAAAAACTTTGAAAAAGATCAACTCTTAATTATGCCTGTTGAAATTTACTAGAGATGATGTACCCGGAATCCAAGAAAAGAACGAGTTGAAGGAAGCAGAGTTATAACAAAAAGCCTTGGAGCAACAGATTGATAAATAATTTTTTTTTTTGAAATGTTCACGAACAGATGGTAGAAATTCAAGCGCTGAAATAATAGAAAAAGGAGATCAACCTAACGATGTGCATAAAAGGAGTCTAGAGATAGAAAAGCAAGTCGGTAGTCCCAGCATACAAACAAATCACAGATGATGTGAGAAGAATGGTGAAGACTCTGTGTGAAGAGGCCTTTTTTTTAAGTAGAAGTGAAATGGGAAGAAGAAAAAGTCGAAGAGGAGAAATGCACATGGTGATTTGAAGAAGAGCTATTAGAAGAAGTAAGGTCAAGAGAGAATTTGAGAAGAAACTCGAGGAGGATAGAAAAAGGTCTGCAAAGGAAAACGGTGTGAAGTTACTCAAATTAACCATCACTATGTTTCAAGGTACCCATTTGGATTGGCTACGGTTCTGGAACCAGTTCGAAACCGAAATTACCCAAGTAGCAAAGTTTTCTTATCTGAAAGAGCTGCTTAATATTCCAAAGATTTGTTCTGTTGCTGATGGTCTACCTTGCAATACAGAGGGATATGAACACGTCAAAGCCATCTTGTAAGCCAAGTACAGAAGGCTAAGTAAAATTGCCTTCACACATATGCAGTGCATAATCACCCTATCAGCTGCCATACATGGATCACAACCAGCAAGAGTTTAAAAAGCTGTCCTCAAATATTAAAGCAGTGGACACGATGGGGAAATTAAGAGAAATCAGCACTGGTTACCCTAGACAAATTACCCGGCATTAGAGCTGACCTTGTTCATTTGGACGACGCCTGGCAAGAATGGGCATTTCCTCAAGACTAGTAGTGTTGGAGGCACTTCCTAAGTGGTGTGACCCAAATCCTTTACACTCATCCAACCAGTCTGTTAAGTCGCAAGACAGGTTCTTTAACTCAAGGCAAGAAGACTGGAAACAGAGACCATGTGTGTACTGTGGTTCAGCTGAGCACAAGTCTGTGGACTGTAAGAAGGTGGTAAGTGTGGCAGAGAGGAAGAAGCATCTTAGTGAGAAGAGGTTATGTTTTAATTGCACTGGTACCAGACACGGAGCAGCAGAGTGTCGTATCAAGAGAAGTTGCCAGAAGTGTAATGGTAGACATTACATGTCAATCTGTGACAAAGAACAGCCACAGTTATTGCTAACCACTTATGAACATGCAGTTTTCTTTTTTTTAACCCAGTGGTGGTCGTCAATCTGGATGGGGTAACAGTCAGGCCAAGCATTATTAGACATGGGTGCTGGTAGTGTGTATGCCTTGGCAGCACTAATCAAGGAGGTGGGGCTGACAAGTGAATAAATCATGACTAGAACTTCCTCAGCAGACTATGAACAGCTGTGTAGTCTAGACACGCTGGGCCTAAAAGATAGAGCAGACAGGAATCAACAGAGTGTACATGAAAAGTTTACAGAACAGCTAAGACAGAACGTGGATGCATGGTTGGTATGAAACAGGCTTGCTGCAGAAACATGGGCACAAACCCATACCAAACAACAAGCAACGAAGTCTTAGAAGACTTGAAAACCTGGGCAAGAAACTTCAAAGAGAGCTGAATCTCCTAGCACGGTACGATGATTTAATTCAAGATCAGCTGGTGACCGGGATTGTAGAGAGAGTGACATCAGAACCAGTAGGAAAGGAGTTTTATATACCATATAAGCCCGTCATCAGAGAATAAGCAGAATCCACTAAGCTTAGAATTGTGTATAACGCTTCAACCAAGGCTAACAAGAAGAGTCCCTCACTTGACGATTGCTTGGAAACAGGACCTTCTCTTCAGAACCTCCATTGGGATGTGCTAGTTCAAAACCGCCTTAAACCAATAACATTAGCTGGTGACCTCAAGCAAGCATTCCTACAAGTGCGCATTAGAGCAGGAGATAGAGACATCCTGCAGTTCCACTGGTTCAAGGACACAACAACATTTGAAGCTGAGGTGTTTATAAGGTTCACTCATGCTTTGTTTGGCCTTGTGCAATCACCATTCTTTCTGGGTGGGATGATGCAATATCATCTGCAAAGTCTGAATGTAAGATACCCAAAAAAGTGGACGAAATCCTGAAGAGCCTATATGCAACCTCATCTAGGAAAAGGGGTATTAAGGTGAAAGGCGTTTTAAACACATTTATATACTTATAATGGTAAACGGCGTTTAAGTGACAGCATGGATTATGTGCTTTGTATGAAACTGTAAGGAGAACAAATCAGAGGGGCTTGCCGGCCCTTTGACCACACCTGAGACAGACAAGACAGTCCATTGGTGCGTAAAAAGAGCACAAGAAAGCAACATGGGGACAGAGAAATTCAAGCAGGACCAGTTGAGCTGAAATTTACAGAAGAACAGCAAAGGAGTGAACGAATGTCATGGAAGAATACATTAGGAAGCTATCCAGTTTACCTACCACCAAATACATTGCTATCAGAGAAGTTAATACAAGATGCCCACGCAATGACATTACATGGGGGAGTGGGCCTTACCATAACCTACATCAGATGCAATGTCTCTGGATACCTCGCCTGAGACGTTTACATGTAACAAAGAAGGTTAATCATGGTGTTTTGGATGTAAAAGGTTTCAGGCTGCAGCCTTTCAAAACCCACCACCAGGAAATCTGCCAGTTGAACACACCACCAGTCCAGTTCCTTTCCAAGTTGTGTGTTTGGACAATGCCAGTCCAATTTCAAACAAGGCCAGTTCCAAGAGAGAAACCAGAAAAGCCTGCATCCTGCTGTTTGCAGAGGTGTTTATCAAGAGTTTCAAGCAATACATAGCAAGAAGGGGGAGGCCCCAAAAGGTGTCCTCTGGTGATGGTAGAACTTTCATGACTGCTGCGAGATGGTTACGAGGTATTATGATGGATGAAAGGATGCATGACTACCTATCCAGAAATCATATCACCTGGCAGTTTAACCTCAGTCGAGCCCCTTGGTGGGGTGGTCAGTTTCAGGGGCTAGCTATAGTGGGGCTGGTAAAACAGGTCTTTTAAGTCAATCAAAGGAGCCAATCTCACTTGATCAGAACTCAAACAAGTTATTCCAGATGCCGAAATTGCTCTCAATAACCATTCCTTATCTTACACTGTACGTTAAAGAGGATATACAACTGCCTGCACTGACACCTCAGAGCATGATGTTTCGTCAGCCCAACCTGTTATCCAAGGAAGGTGTTGATTCAGTTAAAGACAAGGATCTCAGGAAATGTTCAAGTTATCTTGGGCATTACAATAATGTGTTATGGTTCCAATGCGCAGGGGAGTAGATCAAGACCTTGAGAGAAAGGCATAACCTCAACCATAACAAAGGTGGACCACCCATTGAGCAAGGAGACGTTGTTCTAATAATACAGAGTGATGAGCATAACAGGGGCAAGTGGAATATAAGCATTGTGGTAAAGCTGATCAAAGAAAGAGAGGGGAACGTCTGATGAGCGAGATTGAGGGCAGGGAAATCCTTTCCGGGATGAGATATTCAACAATTGAGTCCTATGGAGCTATCATGTGATTGCTTCAAGGAACCAGAAGTTCCACTACCTAACCCACATGCCAGAGTGACTACTCCCAGGACAGCTACTATTACAGCAGTAAAGAACATTAAGGACATTGCAGAGTGGGAAAAGGAAATGATTTGAAAATTTGATTGACATTTGATTCTGGTTTTCACTTTGTAGTATTTGTCACCTCTAGTGTCAAATAGGGGGAGAGTGTCATGACTTACATCATGACTTGCGTTACATGTTGTAACTTACCTTTCTGTGTCAGCAGATTAATCTAGGATTAGTTTTTGAACTTTGAACAATCGAATGTTTGGTATAGTTTAAAAAGGAATGCATGGTTTTGTAACCATAAGGGAACCAAGATCAGGGGATCAGCGGGTGAGATTAAAACTGTTTCGATTCATCCAATTGTGAGTTCTTTTGTCAGTGTTACCCATTCCCAACAGTCAGTACGCAATTTGTCATCTATACCCTTTATATCAAACTGAAATACATGTATCCTAGATTTTTTCGATTTCTTGATTTTCTTCATTTCATTTCATATACGTTTTATGAAATAATAATTCTTTCATGTGACTTGACGACTTCAGAACGAAAAAAAACTTTGAAGAAACGTTGTATTTACAACCTCATCGATTCATGTCACTTCACTTACACTTACTCTTTGATTTCTCAGATGCTCGCCTTCTAGGGCATTCAAGTTATTTTGACAAGTTATTTTTAGTTATTATTCAAGCTTAGCTTCAGACTTTTAATACCGAACATTTTAATGCAGGAGAGTTATGGGAATGCTATACTAACTGAATAAAGTCACGCAACACACAAAGGTTAAGACCGAATAACTTGATCTTTCTGGTATCTTTAGTTCTTCTGTCATCTCCAAAACAATCAAAACATTTCACCAATTTCCACCAACAAATAATAGGAGTCATTTGATTGACAGAAAAATTTGCATTTTACTATCGATGTGTTTCAATAGACGTGCTTCCGTAATGAGATCTCTGCAAGCAGGCCAGCTAGCCTGCCTTCTCATATAAACACAACTTACAACTTATTTTAAGGACACAAGACATGAGCCGCGCCAGCCTGATAAAGCAGGCCAACCTGGCTAACCTTGCTGGCTCACCTCATATAAACACCGCCCTAAGTGGTTTCAATAATGCTCATTTTCTAGGTTAGAAATGGATTGTGCTAACACAAAAAAATAAACCCAATATTCATGCCACTTACATGTACCACAACTTAAGATTCTTTGCAGTACACTATCATTTTATTTTCTAAATGAAACATTTTAAGATGTACTGACCATGGTTTGTGATGATGAATACAGTGTGGCTTGGAGAACTGGTTCTTAACATGGCATTCTTCTTCATATCCCCAACATGGAGTATTGCCAAAGTTTGCATCCTTAAAAATATAAATTGTTAGGTGTTCCAACATTCAAGAAAATACATACCAGTACATGTATAACAATAATACAATGCATGTATGCATTTATGCCTGAAGTAACAATTCCTGAGTTTAAGATTTCAAATAAGTCACATAAACTATTACTTGTGGGTGAAGGTGAAATGGATAATAATATTATGGTAAGAGGTTAACTGCCATTGTAAAAGAGTCTGCTTATTAATGTCTTGAAAAGTACAGATGTACATGTATGAAAGTTCTGGAGCATTTCTACGATTTCCACTTCTTTTAATGAACAGTGAAAATATTAAAAAATTCTGTCTTCACATAAAATTTTTTTGTAAAGAAAGAAGGGTTTTATACATATGTTTTTTTTTTCAGATTGAGAACTCAGTAGAGTCATAAAACAAAAAACACAACAAAGAATTTCTTAATATTTCTAACATACTCATTTGATAAAAGTACATTCAGATCCCTCCCTTCATTTGACAATAGTCAGCCTTGCAGAAAAGAAAATTTGATCACATGAATATTGTCATGAAACCTAGAGTGTAGAACACTAGTTACTAGTGTTCTAGGTTTCATGACAATATTCATGTGATCAAATTTTTCTTTTCTGCAAAGCTGGCTATTTTCAAATGATGATCAAAGCTGGCTATTATTAAACAATAATCGTAACGAACTTCAAACTCTATAGTTCCTTTACATCAACAAGTTACCCATGTAAAGTTTGTCTCCTAGCTATACTGACATATAATTATTATGAAAAGCACATACATGTATAAGGCATAAGAACTGTCTGTGAATTACACTTAAATGTAACAAATTGTGGAGATAAAGAAAAATATAAAAGCTCTGGGTGACTTTCTATTTATTGTAATTTTTCATCAAGTTCCTCTTTTAATTTTGTTTCACTAGAAAATGTAAGGCAGATGGAGACTCTGGCAGTTAATCAAACAACATGGATACATGTAGGGCTTTATTCCTTTAATGTGACACTTAACATCTACCCAGGGCTAGAAAAATTTGAATTCTGGCTTCTCCTTTTAGAGAACGAAGGTTAAGAGCCTTCCCCTTTTGCTTAACCATTATTGCTTGCTTGACATTATAAATGATTCAGTCACAAGATGACTTGCAAGACTGCACCCTTTAAGCAAAGGGCTGTCATTAAGAGGCGGGGCCAGGGATATCCCCCAGGTACTTTCATAGAAAAGCAGAAGAAAAATAGAACCAAAAGAAACCATTAGCTGTCTGATTCCCTTTACCTGGCAACTTGAAATCTTAGTGACAATTCCCTCAGGATAAAGAGCTGAAAATATTTCTTGCCCCACACTAGCGGATTGGACTTTTTCCGAGCCCTGCTACCCAATGACCCTTACTCTAAACTTTAAAGTTTTTGCCCCTCCCCTCTCCTCCCAGCTGGATGTTATTATATTATGTACCTGACAGTCACTGTCTTTGCAGAATTCCTGTCCATAAGGTTTGCCTCTCATAAAATATGGAATGTGGCTGGAAGGTACATCAAGGCTTTGAAGTTCCCAGAGCGTGCACGTAACCTCACATACACACCATGTGCAAAACAACAGACCAGCAACAACAAGTCTCATTGGTCTTACACTACACACAGGTCAAATATCAGAAATAACAAAATTAAGAACCAACACGTATGCAGTGGCACTATTAAAGTATCAATCTTAGAGAGGTGTCCAACTTATAGAAAAACCAAAGAATTAATAACTAAAGGGCTGTGGGTACTCAACAAATTTTTATACAGGGAGGCTAAGCCCCTAGGTCCAACCCCTCACCCTTTTATACACCATTTTTCGCGAAAAAGATACCCCTTTCATACACCTTCTATTGGTACCCCTTTCAGTTACCTTGTTTAGAACTTTACACCCCTTTTAACTGCTGTAAATGCACTGTCATAGCACATTTTCTAGACTTTATAAAGCCAAAATTCATCTTTTAGCCCTTTGGTCCCTAGTCTGCTACACAGCCATTTTTTGCGTTGTCACGCAATGCTCCTCCCAACAAATGGCTGCTGAGAATTCAACCACATTCCTTTACCTTTGTGTTTGTGGTGTAACAAACAAACCAATCATGAACAAAACACTTGACAACATGTGAACTGCAGGGTACTAGGAAGCAAACACACTTCTCAATTTTCAACAAATCAATTAATCGTCACTGAATTTGGGTGAGCGGTTAGCAAAGTTTCAAGTGAAAAAAATTTTGATAGGCCTGCAAGACTCTTACAGGATTGGCTTGTTCTTTTTAGTGTGCATACATGCATGTATGATGAATTTCATGTGCTGGATGTGCTTTTGCGTTGCTGTACATGTGAAGGGTACTGATTCAAACAAAAGCAATCTTGTAAATTATTGATGAGCAATTTCCCAAACTATACCCGGCAACTTTATAAGCACATCCATGTTGTGCATTACATTTCTTTGACTTTCTTGCTGCTGCTGCTTTTCTCATAAAATTAGAATAGGACTAGACTGCGACAACGCTGCTCTAGTTAATTGCTTGTTACGATAGTTCCGTCATTCACACATGGGGCACCGATAACAGCAAAGCTGTGATTGGAGGAGTCACCGTACCGCAATCACGGCGCGAACACCTTCCAGAAAATGGGAGCTGAATTCTAATCAGCTAACCATGGGAAAGGAATGCAGTTCTGTTCCCAGCAGCCCGTTTGTGGGGAGGAGCATTGCGTGACGACACTAAAAACGGCTGTGTAGCAGACTACTAACCCTTTCACAGACTCAAATGACAGATTTGCCTACCCTTTTGTACAAATTGTATACTTCAATAAGTAAAATCCTTACTCTTTATATACATGAAGCCTGAAAATGGTAACCCTTCGAGCAGAGCCTCCCCATATAGGCCCTCGGCCTCATGGGCTATTGACTCAGAGGCCATGAGGGCGAGAGGAATAATTGTTTTAGTAAAATCCAACCAGTTGGTCAAAAATATCGTGAAAAAAAATATTAGCCAGTTAAAGCAAGACTTCAATTTTGCCGCCAAAAAGCCCGCACTTTTTGCTACTAGTGGGCTATAACATATAGCCTAGTAGTAGCTCAACCAATCAGAACGCAGCATTGATAATAGACCACTAGCTGGATTTTACTAATACAAATTATGCATGGAGGGGCTTATTTTCGGAATTTTACGGTATTTTTTCGCAGCAGAGCAACATGACAGACGTTTCTAGCAATTCATGAAATGGAACACGCGGACTGAATTGGCTAAAAATGGCTGGTAAAAAAAAAAACATCGTCGGTAATCACAATCATGTGCAAGGTATCAACTTCTATCGATCGTCCTAGCTAACAGACAAGCTACACGTACTAGAGGTTACTCCGCTTCTGTATGCATATATGACTTGTTCACATCATGCCCATCCAAACAAACCTTAACAGGGCCTCATCAAGATAATTCTCGTACTTCAAAGGCGAAATTAAGCTACAAACAGAAGCTCAACTCACCTCGGCTCAGATCGATATCAACACAAAATTATTAATGTACGGTCAGCCAGCCATTATGGTATAAAGGCTTAGGAGAAGAAGTTGATCGAGGGAAACTGGAACCGATCTTTCCCGCGGTATCAATGCGCTATGAGGCCGCACTGTTCTCGTCCAGCGTGCGTTTTTCAGGTTTGTTCGGGGGTGCGGGGTGCAGGGGTGGCGGGAGGCGGGGTGGGGGGTCGGGTGGTCGTGGAACAGTGGATATTAACTTGGCACTTAAGTTTATTTGTCCCGGTGGGCTTGACCATCGTAATGTCACGAAGAGAGAAGCGCGCAACTTCGAGGAGTTTCCGGGATAACTGCTTGTGACGTCACGATGGCCAAGCTGATTCGCCACTCGATCCCTAAAGGAGCGATTGACAAATTCATTAAGCCCCCCCCCTCCCACACTTCCCCAGATTTTTTTCCTTTTCTTCTGGCTTTTAACAGTAACTCCGACTCGCTAACTACGTTCAAGCCTTTTTTCTTCCTCGTCATGTATCTCTAGCTAGGAAGTGGAACTTCCGCGGCTGCCTTACAAATACATGGCAGTGGATATTCCCCTGGGGAGGAGGGGTCTCTGCATATGAAAAGGGTGGAGATGCTGGTTGGAAATTTTGAACTAAACCCCTAAAGGAGACCGATCTGGGCGTGGCCCAAGCTTTTTTTGACTTCTAAAAGGGACCATGTTAAAACAAAGACAATATATATATTGTGAAAGGTTTGAACCCAGGAGTCATTTCAAAAGTAGGTTGAGTTTGATCGTCCGGGTGAACGTAGTCCTGAATAGGACTGTTGTTGTTGACAGTGACTGACGTTTCGACAACCTGTGCGTTAGTCATCTTCAGAGTCAAAGTGAGTTGTATCATGTCAGTTGATGGTATTGTACTCTGGTTATTGATCTGATTGGTCAATTATGTCGCGATGTTGTTGGCAGCGCCGTAGCTAGTATGAGGCCAACCGAGGCACTCGCCTCGGTAAAATTTTGACGAATTTCACCGATCATTTTTATTTTACATAAGCGATCATCGGATATTTTTAACGCATCATGATATTACAAAGAATTCAGCAATTCAGTCAATATACTATGAAAAAATTACCATATCATCGATCTCAAGGGGCTACGTACGTTAACTCAAATTTTTTTTGAACAAATACTCCTAAGCGAGACGATGAGCATCCCCACCCCTTTCATATGAGGAGTCCCCCCCCGGGATATTCCTAGCTCTAGGATCGATCTTCCTATAATTATATGATCCTAGGCACCACGGACAAGGACAACCTTTGCCGGCATGTGAAGACCTATGAAATGTGGGGCTGTTCCCGGTCACTCGGCCGTGCTGGCCCACTTTACTTCTTCCCGTTTATTCCATGTAAACTGTTTATGTTTAATTCAATAAAAATTGCATAACTGGGCATTGGCAAATCATTGACCACTGCATAAAATACCATAACATACCATAATGCTCTTTGTTGTCACCCCAAGATTTTGCGTTAGCATTGTCTTCAGTTTCTTTTGGGAGTTAAAATGGCCCCAAGAGAAACTGAAAACAACGCTTATGCAAAATTTTGGGGTGACAAACAAAGAGCATTATGGTATGTTATTTTTTTTTTCTGTAGTGGTAGATAAACAGGCCCGATAAATAGAGAGATGTGTGACGTCACGTTACCATGGTAGCAAAATTTCTGGATCACAACAATAGGGAATTTAAGCAACGACGGCAACGACAACGAGAACGGAAAAAAAGCAATAGATTTATGTTAGCAAAACAACACATTAATTTGCACGTGCCTCACACGTTATTGCAGATTTCTTAGCCGTCGTTGCTCGACATGAATTTTCCTAATTTCACGCGACCGCTTTATAGAGTAGGTGAACACAGCGAAGCACAAAAATTTTCTTTTCAACTTAAATGCGGTCCTTTCGATCGGATTCAACTCCAGAAAACTTTGCCAACATTTGACAAATAAAATGAATAAGATCGAGGAAGTAAAAATAGAGTAAATTCACTTTCCCTTTGGTGTCATCCAGAAATTTTCCTACCATGGCAAGGTGACGTAAAGACTTCTCCTCTCCATTGTGAACTGGGAAAGCAACTCTCTGCAATGATTTGATTGAGTGATTACCAAACAATATAGCTTTCCAGTGCGCGATTGCCCGATGCATGCCCAAATCAACCTTTATCGAATCAAATCACGACTTCCATCAGTGACATCAGTGGGTGGAATGTCGCACGATTTTGACCCCGCTCGTGATCATGCGCAGTAGAGAAGTGCTCTGGGGATACGCGGGAGCGGCGCCTTTGTCCTTATGAGCTTCACTCGACGCCCGGAACTCGACCTCGATTGACAAAGACTGCTCGAAGTCAAGATTCATTATTAGGTGCTCTATGATCTTACAATGGAAACTCCAGTGAAAAATTCACTGAAAAGCTTACTACACGCCATTTCGAACTTTTTCGCGGTGTTTCCACCTTTCGCTGAAGAAAGACCGAGGACCGCGTCCGAGCTCAGAAAGGTACGGTAAAATTGTTATCTCTTTGCCCTTCACGTTATCAAGAAATCCCTACTTTGTCCTGAGAGAAACTAAGGTGCATAATACTAATTCATTATGTTTATTTTTTTTTTATTTCTCTGTTCATTTGATCTGATTTACTTATTTACAAAATCAATATTTACACTTAAATAAAATGTCTCCCGAGGGAACAAACAACGGAGTTAAACTTTTAATGTACAGAACAATCAACTGTAACCGTTTTAATTTTCTCCAGTTTCTTTAACAATTATTTTCTGTTTTATTGAAAAATGACCATTTTAAGCCATTGGTCCGAGTTGGCATCCTCAAGTATCACTCACTACAATATAAAGAAGACGGACGAATGGCTGGTTTTCTATCTGTCTCTTTAAGAAGAGTTTTTTTCAGTAAAAGCTCTATCTCAAAAATATTTGATTTTCTATCGTGTTTTTACAACCACTGCCGTGAATTATGAATCATGCGACCCTCTTCTCCTTGTGGTTTATAATAACAAATATTAAGGAGCGTCCACGAATACGGACGGGACCGTCTCAAGAAACGAAATGTAACGAACAAAGACGAAAAATTTGTAACTTAAAACAAACGTTTCACGTGAATCATTAGTGATTTTTAAAGCCGTCACGGTTCACTTAATGACATAATTTTCTGCGCTTGTCTGTACTAAAATAGCCTGAAAAAACAGCCGACATTTAGCGACGCCATCAGTGGTATCCCCGCGAAAATGAAACCAGTGGTGGCGATACGAATAGCCTGCGTAGCATGGCGGTTTTGTCCAGCCGGGCGCACAAGCGGCGAAGCCGGGAAATTCGCGCGCGAAGCACGCGAGAACGAGAGGCGAAGCCTCGCGGTTTTTCTGCCCTCGCCCGCCTTTATTACTTAGCGGGCCCAACCAAAACCACCATGCTACGCAGGCTACGATACGAAATGTCGGCTGTTTTCTCGACGCTAGCGTTAACGCAGCTCTCTTGTTAAATATTCCTAAACATTAACATAACAGGTAACACAAATCACCCTCCAGGCATGTCGCCGTGAGCAAAGAAATTTGGAAGAGCAGAGAACCTAGTAGATCTTATACAGCTAGTAATTAAAATGACAAAGAATTTGAAATGATATTCTTCATGATGCTCTCGATCTTGACTGTACCAATCAGAGGACTAAAGAACAGTTCTTCCGCCGCCCGCTGAGTAAGCATTCGAGTGGCTGGTAGGCGAAGCAGGATTTTTGCAAATCGTTCAGGATTACGGGGGTGCATGTTCTCAACATAATGCTTGAGAGAACGGTGTGCCTTCTCTTGTAGCTGTTCAACTTGTTTGGGATTCTTCAGAACTGGGCAATCTACAAAAGAAAAAAAATTACCGTGCAAGTTAATGACAAATCACTTCTAAAAACATACTTTGTCTTAAAACTCCCCCCCCACAATCCCCTTCTAGGGTCTTTAAAATATACCACGGCTCGAAATAACGGGCAGTCAACGGCGGACAATGTCAGGACTGATTGGGGAATTGACCGAACAACCTTTCATTTTGCCGGTCATGTTGACCGATCACATTCGATCGTATTGAAAACGAAATAAATTTACATTTCCATTCCATTCAGTTGTTTCAGTTGTACCAGTATGTAGCGCTGAGTTGCTGTGTAATGCGGAAATTTGATCTGAAACTTGACCGAAATTTGACTGGCCAGAAACGATACGTGACCGAGCTAAAAAGACGGAGACTCTCCGGAAATTACTTCGAGCCCTGTATACTATGTGGGAGCCAAGGAACATACATGAAGAGATCTGCCAACGTTAAAGGGTAATTGTAGCTGACCACGTTCGCAACTAAAACGACAGTACTCTCGCACGCTTAAAAGGGCGACTTTTTTACGGAAAGAGAAAAACCGTGTATAAAAGCACAGCCTACGAAATAAGTACCTCTTTTTCCACGCGTGAACGCGAATTTCACAGCCTTCAAGTCTTAGTACCCTATTTTCCACGCGTGCACGCGAATTTTGCACGCCCCCAAAAGGTCGAAGAAAATGAGGGACTACTCATAGCCCAATTAAAGTAAAACTTATTTTATGAGTCTACCTCGGCACTAAACTCGTATAAATACCGCGGATGCGCTCTTTGCGACCACTCACCTAGTCCTCGCTCTAAAGGTGAATAAAGCTTTCAAATGAAAAGTTTTCTTAAGCGGCCGCTCCCGTATATAACCAACACAATAAGCGAGTGCGACCACGACCAACAAAACTCTTTGATTTTTTTCATCTGCTTTGAAAGTGATAAGTAGAAAAAGAAACTCTTTTATTTTACTTTGGTTGCTGATTTTATGGGTGATCAGCTGAACATGTGCCAAGCTTTTTGCTAAAAGCTCTCATAACGAATCACTCGCAATACGTTTCTCACAAGGTCGCTTTAAAGAGCCTAGTTCTAGTGGTCCACCAGCACCAGTTACGAACACTTACAGTTTATGGATTCCGCAGGTGGTCGTTCACGGAAGAAAGCTTTGACTGGACGCGAGGACACAGTTTTTCTTAAATTAATCGGTTTGAGTTGAAGTCTTTTGAGGTCATGCAATTCAAGGGTACAATACGTTACTCATTCGGCGAAAGAACTTTAACCTTCGGAATTCCTCAAGAAAGTAAGAATTGGAAGAAAGGAGAAATAATGAAAGAACTTCGTGCCCATGCACTGTCCACAAAAATTCACCTCTAACAACACACAAATGCTTGAAAATTACCTGAATTAAACAGCACAATAGCCTTGAGTAACGCATACTCCACTAAATCCAGATCAAGCTTTTCAAGACTAAATAACAGCTCTTTCAAAATCAGTAATTTCTCGACCATGTTCGATTCTTTCCTTGCAACGTGGGATTTTTCGTCTTCAGTGTTCTCACTTTCCTCTAAATGAAGAGCGGCAAGTGTAAGCATTGGAGACAGCGGAAAGGAACTAGAACACTGGGCAACGCCCAACATAAAAAGATCCGACCATGTGCTCTGTAGTAAAGCGAGTTGGTCAGCGCATTCCAGACTGCGAAATGCCTGGATGCTTCGTGCCCAATCAACCGTCAGGAACAGAAGTCGCGTGGCAATTTCATAGACGTAGTCCATGGATATTGTAGACACTCCTAGTGTCGGGGGTTTGAGTTTAAAATGGAGATGTTCTGAGCTGATGATGTAACGCTGTTCTTCAGAGAGGAACGCAGAAACTGCTTCTTGAGATGAGTTTGAAGTTGTTGATGGAAGAGTAGGACTTGTCCGCTCTGAGTTTTCCGGACGAAAAGCAGGAGCAGCGGGACTCAAAGAAGACAGTTGAGGCGAAACTTGCGAATGGTTTTCATTTGCCACATTTTCAGAGCATGTAGAAATAGGCTTTCTTTCACACTGTACAGCTATAGCGAGAAGAAAAGACACAGGTTAAAATGAATTAACTAACGATAGAATAGGCCAATTTCGATATATTGATTTTTTTTTACTTAGCTTGGAGGATTAGAGGAGTACAACAGAATAATTAATCTTGAGGTTCAGCAATGAATTTCTTCTGTTTAATTCCCCTAAGCCGTGTAGCCACGGATGATTTTTAATATATCGAAACCAGCCCAAGAGAAAGACAGGCGGGGCGATGGGTTCGCGGGGGGGGGGGGGAGGAGGGCGTTTTTCTCGTTTTCCCCTAAACTTGCTTCCAGGTAACTTAACCATTTGCACTGGTTTGCGGTCACAAGGTCTTGAGATACGCTGTGGGTTTATAGGCCTTATTGATCTGAAAAGGAGTTAACAAAACGGAAATATGTATACAAAAATAGACCATAAATAAGCACGTATTGTGTTTCCTGCACGTAAGGGTAATCAAATCGTAATTTAATTGCTTCTAAAGAAGATTATTCTCTGGGCCGGGCTGACCACAAAGGAAAAATTACAGTTTCGACAGGGAGAGCTCTATAGTCAGGCCAAAACTATTTATGCTTCCAGTCCATGACTCACTAGTTTAGCCACATTTTTACGTGAGACACGATGTTTTCGCAGTAGTATTTTGTTGTTATATTATGAAGTTTCGGTGGGGCGTAAGACTTGCATATTACTTCCTTCCGAGTAGATGCCCAGAGGCTGATTAGGGTCACGCCGCGCGGGTTGGGTTAAATGTACATTGTTCGTACTTTGCATGTTCTGTTTTTGAAGAGGAAAAACACTTTCCAGTAGAAATGACACCAAGATCACTACAAGAGAAGCACACTGCGGCTTCTACCATCAGGTGCTCCATTTTGCCTGGTTGCAAGTTATGTAATACGTTCTTCAGAAGTTTGACCTTGCGATCACAAATGGATGAATCAGCTCTAGAAAAATTACGTACACATTTCACCGAAGAATATATATGCAAAAACGGAAACGTACATAAGTAAATAAACGTGTTACATAATCAAGACCACACGTGCAATGTTCCTTTAAGTTGTCACACGAGTCACGAATACCACATGACACAGTACCTTTACAGCAGAGGCGAATGCATCGGAAACAAGAACTGTGCAGCCTACGATAAACACAAACATGCCGGACGCTCGACTTCCGCGCGGCCTAAGTAAAATGAATACATACGACAATATCGGCAAAGTTTTCTAGCATTCTCTACCGGAAGATGTCGATGACCCTCGTAGTCAGATGTGTAGTGATCAAGCGAAAATGTCGGCTGCCACATTATATAATTCAAAAGGTAGCAGTTCGCTCAAAATATCTGTTCGTGTAATGTCCAGTAATGTCTGCTAAAAGGTTTGATGTCACATGATATGTTAATACGATTTGTACATCGCGTGTGCGTGGAACGAGTGTTTGCGACAAGACGCTCAGCACGTGATAATTGAAATATGGCCGAATGTAACATGTGGGGTGGATAGTTTCAGTTGCAAACATTGAGAAAGAATTTAGAAACTTTATTTCATTCTTAGTTTATTCATAAACGAAACGCAAACTATATCTCTTCTTTATTTGTGAACATGTCTCCGTAATAATACTCTTGAAGACAATAATTACCAGGTCCATAGAAAATCGCGTGTTCTGCACGAGGAAACGCTAAGTAGGTCTTTCAAAATTTCATTTTTTTTTCCTCTTCCGCGTTAGTGGAAATTAAAACGGCAACGTTAACCAAAGACGTTAAGCAAAAAAACAAGGCTGGGTCTTATTATTTTGCCCATGGACTTGTCGGCTGCAGTATAAACCTGTTTTATTTTAACTACTGTACCACTTATGATGACTAGCTTCCCGAAGAAAAAACATCTTTCATTGATATTGGGAGTATAAACAGTTATAATGACCCATTACACAAACACTGAAAACTTTCCTTCACTGCAGCATGTCCCGCATGCAGCCAATAAACGAGTTTGTCCAACTCAATATTACAACTCAATATTAAAAGCACTGAGAGTAGAGTACGCTTTGCTTTACAAGCTTACTGAGTTTTTCAAACATCTTCTGGTCTGCGACAAATTAGGATAAAATCGGTAAACCTAATTTCACAAGGTAAGCCTATCAAAGTTACAATGTTCTAGTTTGGCATAGGTTACATAATAGCAAAACACCAACTTTGAAAGTTACTTGAACACAAATTACCTTCCTTTCTCATCCCCATAGCCAAACACTTATTTAATCGACATCTCTGGCATCTGTTCCTGTGCATTTTATCTACCAGACAGGCACCATCTCCTTGACAGCTGTAACTCAAGTTTCTTCTAACGCTCCGTTTGAAAAATCCCTTGCAACCCTCGCAGGCCACGATTCCGTAGTGTTTCCCTGTCCCGCGATCCCCACAGACTAAACAATTTCCCCAGACAGCTGGTTTGGGCGTTTGCGTTGAAATGCACTCTTTGTAGAAAACCTTCGGCTGACTTGATTCTGAAATCATACCACGGCCAAAAAAAATAATAAAAATAATCTCGCGAACCAAGAGCCGATATAAAGGAAGTTGCTGAAATGATTTTAATAATGAGATGCATGTGCAAGTTATATTGCTTACATAACTAATGAATGCTATATCTCGACAAAGAGGAACAGGTTGTTGAGCTAAAATTCAAATCCCAAGTTACTGGCCAAAAATGTCTCAGAATATATCTATATCACATCTTGAAAACACATTGAGTTCATAGCAGTGAAAAATTACATCCACTGATGGGAACGAAAGAAGTTGCCAAAGTTATTGCGATCTTAAGCGCCATGCGTGAAGAAACAAAAAGATTTCCGTCAGTGATAATATATGCAATACTTACCGGTCATAGTTCAACTTTTTCACAAACGCAAAATTTCCCGGTGAATAGCCAACTTCCTTCGTGTTTCAAGCGAACCGGTTGTCCCCAAAAATTGGAAATATTTTTTTTATGATGAGCGCGCGAAATTGAAATTCAAAGAAGATCGCCAGGGTACGATCTAGTAACGAATTCCATATATTCTGATCTTTGGAATGGAAAGACACGTTTTACCTTTAACTTCAATTGACGCGAAGGTCATTCGAAGGACAAAGGGCTTCTTGGTCACACTAACGAGCATCCTGATTGGTGATTAGTTCGTGCGAAAATACTGTTATACCAATCAAAAGCTGGTTTATAAAAGTCACGCTACACCTCACGTTTATGACAACATAATCTTTCCAACAAGTAACCGCAACAACGTGACTTTGTAAAATACTAATAACAACGCGCCGGCAAAGCACGTGTTTTCAAATACAATACACTGATTACATAATCTATTGTACTATCAAGATATTGCGTTTGCCAAGCCAAATATTGATTTTCTTTTCATAAATGGATGAAAATTTCTGATCGAATTTAGCTCTTGGTTACGTGATAGGCGATAGTTTTGGCCGTCCTACTTTATACTCGCGTTACTGTACATTTTTTCTTTAATGTTGTATTGATATTCTGATTTATCCGACACTATAATTTACTTTATACTCCTCTATGAAAATAAAATAAAATAAAATGGGCGGTAAAATTTCTTTTGCACGGCAAACTGAGTAGCCTCCCATACAGACGTTTGTTGGGGCTTCGTCACGCGTCCTTCCCCGTGGCCGGCCGGCTTACGAAACTACGGCGACGGCAACGGGAACGTCAAAAAAGCAATAGAGTTAATAAGCAAAACAACATTTTTGCAAGCACGTGCATCACGCTTTTTTGTACATTTCTTTGCCATCCCTGCACAACTACGACGTGAAATGGCCATATTTTTCGTTAACTTGAGCACGGGGAAAGGCAAGGCTATAAATTCTAGTCCGAACTCGGAAGCGGTCCCCTCTCTTCAGCGCCAACATACATTCCCTTCTTTTCAGTATCTGGGCGACGTGGTATAATCGCAAAAAAGTTAAAGCATGCGAAGGTTACTTTTCAACGATGTTTTCATGGACTTCGCCGTTGTCGGATCGTAAGGTCCTATCTGCCCCTTGGATACCTTATGAAGTTTACACAACGTAGTATTCCTTAAAGCTTACGTTTCCTTAATTTAAAATGCAAAAAAGGTTTAAAGCTACCGGAAATGATCGATTAAGCGCTGCGGCGTTTATTTAATTTTCTCTGTTATAGGAGGCCTATAAGGTTAGCGTTAGATAACATCGAGTGAAGCCAGATTGGACACCATATGAATTTTACACAACGCATTATTTCCATAATGGAACGAGACTGGAATGTAGAATGAGGCTAGAGTAGCTGAAGAAACCAAAACTAGAGAGTTAAGCACTGATCTGCATGATTAAGGTTAAGCACTGAACTGAAAACAGTTGGCTTTCAAATATTGTAGTAAGGTACGGCATAAGAACTTGTATATTTTAAAAATTATTGGATTTGGCAGCTAGACCTCGATGGTGTAGTGGATGTGGATGTAGGCTATAAAGTAAGTGACCCGGGCTCAAAGCATTACAGTGGAATTTTTCTATTTCATTTTATATTACATAGTAAAGTTGGACTTAAGTTGTTCTTCATGTAATTTTACTGTATATTATTTTATCATATTATTTTACTTTTACTGTAATTTTACCCCCAGAAAAACATCGGAAACTGACAGTCCAGTCTCCCCGATTTTTTCTTAGGCGAACGCAGGCTACCTGAACTCAGTGCGTCGTTATTTTTCTTTTCTTTTCTTTTCTTTTGTCTTAAAAACGCGAAGACGCAAAACGAAGAAAAAAGGGGATGATGGCAAATAGGATCCATCCGAAAGACAATTATGAACTGATAATGAACCAGAATGATTCGAGTTATTGCGGTAAATTTCGGTAAATTTTGCCAAGGGAAAGGAAATTTAGTTCAAGTTTTAGCGAGGAAATCGGGTTTTGCGCCGCTCAAGAAAATTAAGGCATGGGTCTTCTATTTAATTCCTCAAAAGCACGGGGGGGGGGGTTTAATTTCTTAAGCTTTCAATATAGCACAAAATAACTTAAGGACAGACTACTCTGAATTCTGACAGAAGTTACTAATTGTCCTGTGACCTATTAAGGCTATTTTTAGAACAAAAATCTATTTGGCAATATGGCACGACTTATAATTAGTATCTGGAAGTTGCAGTTATCGTCATAGTTATGAGACAAGTGGGTACATCATTTCTACGTCCGGGCTTTTTAAGTTAAACTTTTAGACAGGAAGGAAATTCGAAAAACGTTTCATAAGGGGACTGGGACACTGGGCCGGGTACTAGTACAAACTTCCGTTTATTTACACTTTCAATGAATTCGAATTATTCAACAAAGCCCGGGGGCACAGATGTCTAGTCGTTCATCTAGGGACATGTTTGTTTGCAATTTCTTCGATTGGCTCCTATCATAAAATGGTGCCATTTCTTATTTAAGTTTTTTTCTCGCAAAATGGCCGTTAAAGGTCACGTGACCTAATTTACAAATTCTTTTACCCGGAATCGCATAGACAGGGGCGGATCCAGGATTTTTTTTAGGAGGGGGTGCACTCGTCTCTTGCTCGACTTCAACACCAATAAACCACACAGTTTTTTTTTTTTTTTTGCAAAAAACCAGTTGTATTAGAAAACCGCAGGTCATCTCAGTATTATAACTATACTTCGGAAATCTGTTATTTCTAGCAAGAAGGAGAATCACTTTTGAAGTCCGTACTTTCGGAGGGTCGCTACTTTTGGCATTTGCTAACACCTGTGAAATTTTATCGCTACTTTCGAAGGCTCACTCTTTTCGGGGGGTCGTTACTTTGGGAATTTTACGGTACCGGGGTACTACCGTACAAACTGTCATCGGTAAATCCTCAGTCGCGACAATACTGGGTATAGAGCAGGGCGGATAAACCTTTATCCGCCCTGGTATAGAGCGTTTTCACTCACATAGCCAGCATCTATGCATATTTATTGGAACAAAAGAAAGCGTTTGCGTAAGAAAAGAGTTCCACTCCCACAGGACTGGTTTGGGACACCAACATGGCCGCCGTTTTATTGTTTTGGGACAACAATATGGCCGCCGTGACGTTATTTGAAAAGGTCAGAACTCGTTAACATCCGTCGAAAGGTCGTTTCTCCCCTTATGAGTTTTACACAAGGTAGAACTGGAAAGTGCGAGTCTCTTCAATTTAAAATAAAAAAAATTGACGTGAAGAAGGGCAAGAGTATTCGAACCTATGACCTACATTACTACTATACCACACTTACCATCCATTAACTACTAGCCAACTGAGGATTTGTTGAATGGTAAGGAAATAAATAAAGAACAGATAGCATCAACCCCAACCCAACAAAGGAACCTAACCAGTTTCGAAACAGTGCTTAACCCTAATTAGCAAAAGTAGTGCTTTATTCTCTATTTTCCAATTGCCCATAATACACTCTGTTTGCCCCCCACATTCTGCATAAACCATTGTTTTTAAATGCTCCTGGGAGTATTGCATTTTCCCAAGAGCATTTTAAGACAATAAGTTATGCAAAATTTGGGGGGCAAACAGAGTGTATTATGGGCAATTGGAAAATAGTCAGTAGCCCTAATCTGTAAAACGCAGTGCTAATCCAAAACGAAAAAAAAAGTGCTGACCATTTGAAAACACTCTATAGGTGGTGATACTATACGTTCCGGGTTCGATTCTTACGACCGAACTTTTCATGAGCCGAAGCTAATATATTGAATTAAGTACATGAAAAGTTCGGCGTTTGAATCGGTCCAAAGAAACGAACCGAATCACGCAATCATCGAGTTTCCTGAGCGCACGTCAGATTGCCAGGAACCAAAAACTTTCAAAAAAAATTTCCCACAAAAAACACATCGCAATACCCATAACTAGGGGAAGAGATAAGAGACTGACCATGCCTAAAGGATTTGGCGCTTTCATGATGAATCAGTGCGCAGTTCTTTGATGCGGGAGAACTTTGTGAGTTGCGTTGCGACTGCACACAGTCACCTGCCTTGCTTCGCTTTATGTAGGAAGAGGGTCTGAATGGGGGGGGGGGGGGGGGGGGGGGTGTCCAAATGTCGGTTGTGGGTTAAAATTTCATAACTTTGTCGGTTGTCGGTAAATCTAGGTTAATGATTAAAAAACAAGTTAATCATGAATATTCGTTATTTAATTCACACTGTTTAAACTCCATGCAAGGGTAACACTTCTTCATTCCGCGTAGATTAATGTCATGTCGGTACCATGTCGGTAGTCGGTATTTTTTTTTTCTCGTTTTGTCGGTAGTCAGTTATATTTTTCG